CTAACCAGGAATTACGCAAAAAACAGACCTCAACGAACTCACCCTCGGCAGCACGATGAAAATGTCCTTCCCCAACCCGGACGACATCCTGAACTTCGTCCTCACTATCGAGCCCGACGAGGGCATGTACAAGGGCGGGGCCTTCCATTTCAATTTCGCCGTGAACCAGAACTTCCCGCATGATCCGCCTAAGGTCAAATGTTCGCAGAAGATCTATCATCCGAATATTGACCTTGAGGGGAACGTTTGCTTGAATATTTTGAGGGAGGATTGGAAGCCGGTGTTGAATTTGAATGCGGTTATTGTGGGCATGCAGGTTCGTTTTCCCCCATCTCTTTTTTCTTTGCTTTGTTTTTGTAGGGAGTTAGTTGTTGTAGTTTGGGTAATGAGTGCATGGTTGCGTAACTTGATGTGCGTGCTAAACTGACTGACTGACTCATCTGATATAGTTCCTGTTCCTTGAGCCCAACGCCTCCGATCCCCTCAACAAAGAAGCCGCCGATGATCTCCGTCAGAACCGCGAAGCCTTCAAGCGGAATGTGCGCACGTCGATGGGCGGAGGCGCCGTGCGGGGCGTGCACTATGAGCGCGTCATGAAATGAGTTTGACTTGAACCGCCCATTGCGCGCTCGCTTCCGGCTTGGGTGGACTGCAGAGATATGGTGTCGAGCCGAAGGGAGCCGTGACTGCTTGCTCCTGGCACTTGCGCCATGAGTTGATTTATGAGTCCTGGCCAGCGTCAGTCAGTCAGTTTGGTCTGAGCGGAGCTGAACTGGCCTGGCCTGAAGCAAGGTAAAGAGATGGGATGAATCTATGGTGGATATGAGAAGCAGATACGAATAGCAAGAGAATGGACTGAAAGGAAAGGTAAAAGGATCCTAGGATCCTAGGTTGGGTCTCTGGTGCATCATCTTCTACTTTTTTTTTTTATTATAACTGAATTAATTAGCGACTGGATAGATTATTTGTTCACGAACGCAATGAATATATGGTATGGTGATTCTTATTTATTCATATCACTTTGGCTTTGTTTGAGATCACTGTTCTTGAGCTTGGGTCGATTTACTTTGTGGTGTTATTTTGGACTTTCTGATTTTGAAATTGATTCGTTCTATAGTGTGCATTGCAGTATTGCTGCATCTTGTTCTTTCAAAGCCGAGGGATCAGAAAATACGTCAGTAGCTAAGGAGACTCCAGTATCGCACAGCTATATCCTACATACAGAGACGGATGCCAACCACCTACTACGCACGGTGACATGATCCATCCAGAAAACACCATGACTTACAATGCATCCCCAATCAGGATCCCCGGAGAGAATCAAGGATAAAGATATAGGATACAGCAACAACAAAGGAAACCAGTTGTAGTACCGTAGGAAACAAGAAAAACAGCTATATATACAGCCAATCCACTGAACAACTTAACAACGGAGAGATAAAGAGAAAGAAGGTAATTGAACATGTTTTTGGCTTTCTTTCATTTCTCCCATACATTGGTGCGATTTCATTCACTCTGATATGTATGAACCGTCCGTCCGGGAGGGGATACTAAAGTCCAATTCAACTGAGTCGAGCTTATAACGCGATACATGTGATCATGGCCGATACACAGAGAACACAGAAACTTGACAATGACAAGGCTGGCTCGGCTGGTCCTTCTCCGAACAGAACAGGATATATTGAAATGGTTGAACGGATGCGGAGTAGTGATCGATGGTGCTTCGTTCGAAGGGGCAAGGAAAGTAGGTAGGTGTATCGAGTATTGTCAGGACGGACGGTGCAGAATCATCAAATTGAACGAATTTAAGCGGCCTGGGCGGCGCGCTCCTGCTCGAGACGGGTGTAGTAGACGTCACGGGCGCGGACGCGGGGGAGGTGGTATCCTGTTTGATTGTTAGATGGGTTTTTTGAGAGGAGAGAGGACCTTGTCTGGAGATGATATAACGTACCGTACCACCAGAGGTAGCCGAAGGTGGTACCGAAGCCTGGAGGTGGAAGATGGGGTTAGTTTTTTGACATGCGGAGGTTCATCGGTGATGGTGGAATTGAATTCGTCAGGACGGCGAGGCAGATGACGTTGAAAAGACTAATTTCTCTGTCACTCTGCCTGTCTATGACTGTCTTGATTTTCCGGATCGTGTGCTCGCGACATGCTGAATGGGTGGACGAATGGATGGATGATCGGTCAAGACTCACCGAAAGCAGTGCTCAGGTCAAGGACCAGGCTGCGGCGGAGCATCTATAAGAATCAAGTCAGCCCATCTGTCCATGCATTGTCTCTGTGATTGACGCTCGGGGGTGTGGGCGGATTCCAAGCTCGAAATCCCAGCCATCCCGTCAAGCCGAGCGGAAACATTCGGGTGTGGGAATCACGTACGCCAGTGATAGGGGCGACACCGGCCATTGTGAAAGATGGAAGAGAGAATGCGACTCGAGAGGCGGATTCGAAGCGATTGCAGCAGAGAACGAGCTGCGTTGGGTGGGTGGTGGGGGAGTGGAGGTGGAGAGCAGAGAGGGGGAGAAAGTGATGATGTTCGAGAAAGTCGAGGTGAAGCTTTCCGGTCGCACGTAAGCGACGGCTGTGAGTGGCCTGATGGCCTGACTGGATGCGGCGGTCGGGGGGAGTGGTGCAATGGCTTCACTTTCTGTTTACAGTCTATTGATGGACATTGCTATATTTATGATGTTTTTACTATTGCCCAGATTAAATTTATCTTATTTTTCACTCTATTATGTACCGTCCTCTGTCCTGGCAAATCCCTGTCTGCTGGTCTGCCTGCCTGGATACCTGATGCTGCCTCAGGTATAAACCCCACGTGACCCTTCCGAAGACTTGTTTGGCTTCGTCACGCCGTCCTTCTTGACTACGATCACCCTCATCCCTGACTTGCCGCCATGCTCGCCTCGGAGCCTACCCTCAAACGCTCCTCCTCGTCGATTTCAGCCCAGCAGAATGGCCCGGATGTCAAGCGCCTGAAGCGTCCCTACCATCACCACCACCGTCTACAGAATCCCGTCAACCCAGCCATCCCGGAACCCGCGATCTCGGATGCCTCCTCGGTCGACCATTTGATGAACCGCTCTATCGGGCAGTCTCTCCGACAGTCTGGTTTTGACCAGGCCGATCCGGTTGCGCTAGATGGATTCCGCAACGCCGCTGAGGAGTGTATGTTTGCGATACAAGGAGGAAAGCAAAATGAATGATGATTCTGACGAACGTGCGCCTAGATCTTCTCAGATTCGCCTCATATATCCGTCAGTCGATGCTATCGAGCCGTCGCATCCAGCCGATTCCTCAAGATTTCGAACATGCGTTGAAACGACATTCCCTGCGCCTGGACGACCTCATCCCGCACGCTAAACCTCCCCCGACTTCCGAGCCGATTCCTACGCTCTTACCCACTCCTCCGCCGGAAGACGACTCTTTCAAGATGCTGCCCTCGTTCGGACCCCAGCTGAGCGGCGAAGACGACCGAGTGCGAAGTGCACACATCCCGAAACATTTCCCGGAATTCCCGAGTAAACATACCTACCGTCACACGCCCGTCTTTACGGAAAGAGAACAGGATGCGCGGAAGATCCGCGAGCGCGCAACAGAGGATGGACGGCACGGAGAAGAGGCTCTGCGCAAGCTGGCTCGCGCAGCGTTCAAGGACAATCAACTTGGAGCGGCCGGTCGCGACAAGAAAGCATGGGGCAAGAGAACGGAGAGCATGGATAGTATGTTTGAAAAGACGATTAAGGCCATGTTGAAGAAGACGCCTAAGGCCCTGCCCGCGCCGGGAGCCTCAGCGCCCATGGAAATCGACTCCGGGGCTGCCGCCGATGCAGATGTCAAATCGGCTCGGAATAAGACGGCTTTGAGCATTGAGCTGCCGCCGATCATCAACTGCGAACGAGATCTTTGGCGCAAGTCCACGGGATCGCGGGATCGCAGACCAGAGGAGAAGTCTCCCGGGTCGAAGGACAATCCGAATTTACCCCGAGTGGAGAACTGGGTGAGCACATAATTGGGAGCATGTTGTTTCGGAAGGAAGCGGATTGGTCTCACGGCGTTTGGACCTTTTGTAATTGTAGTCATAACTCGTCAAGATACCCATGGAGTTGATTTGGAATATGCTTAATTGGGCTGAGAAACAAGAAAAAAAAGAATATCTGTAGCTGGTATCCAAAGCCAAAATGTGTAGAGAACGCCCGTTTTCCCAACTCCGTAGCAATGCAATCCGATCAATCATCGTCCTACGTGCTTCTAGCTTTCGAATCTCCCTCCGCTGTGGCTGTAGCTGTAGCTTCAGCTTTGCGCTTCGCCTCTTCGGCCTGTCGAATCGGTTCCCAAGCAGTCGTTTCAACAGTCAATCCATTCGCGCATCTAACAGAACCGGAAGAATTAGCTTAGCTTCAACCAACCTCTCTCCGAAGACCCAATCCATCTTCAAGCAGCAAGGCCAAAAGACAGAAAACAGAAGAAACCTACCGTCTAAACAGCCTGACAACCGGCTTACAAACCACCACACCCGGCTTGGGAATCCCATCCTGTGGCGGATTGCACGAGTACTGGACCATTTCTAGGAGCTTGCATTTCTCGAGCTCGACAGGTCCGCCTTTGCGGCGCCGCTCTTGGAAGTTCTTGCGGATGATGCTGACATGGTCGGGGAGGGTTTCGGCGTGGAAGACGGGGACGAGGGGAGCCATTGTTTTTGATTGGGATGAGAGGACGCGAGGATCGAGGGGATGGTGGGATTGGGAAGAGGATGTGAGTGGGTTGATTGGGGGGTCTGGGCTGATCGGATTTGATGCGATTGCGGCTTCTCTTGGCGGGTGGTTTTGTCTTCCGACAACTACTTACGGAGTACTGCCTTTGCTGCATTATTCAGGCTCGGTACAAGACACATCCTTCTGGTTGATTGCTATATTATGATTGGGTTAATTGCTGTTTCATAATGTCAGATCATTTATGAATTTCGCCGATCTGCATACGCAGGAGTGTCGTCGTTAGCTATGGCCGCCGAGCTCGGGGAGAAATTGCTCGGCGAGGTTCACGAAGAACGATTAGACGAGGTATGGTTGTTGGACTTGTTATAATGTATCAGTTTGATACAAACTTCCTTCGGTTTCCTCTGGCTTGTCATCTGTCGAGCTGTCATGCATGTCCACACGCTAACGACTCTAGCTCCTGCATGACCTGCGAACCATCTACGAGAATCCCGATGATGCTCCTCTGAGACATCCACTGGGTGTCACGGAGATCGACGACCTGCTAGATGTGTTCATGCAGAGGACTCCTGTGCAACCGGCCCAGGAGCATCCGGATCCACCGCTATTAGAAGAGACCGGTCCTGCTTCGGATAACGGCGAAGGCGAAGACGAGGAATATGCTCATGATCAGGAACACGAGCCTGCTCAAGATGATATCCCAATGAATCCACACTCGTGGGAGAATGTTCCTGCACCAACTCACGTCCCTCGCGACACCGCTCTCGAAATATCGAGTACCTCGTCCGGGGCCGGGAAGTCCCAGTTACTCTACTATCTCGCAGCCACGGCGGTCTTGCCGTCTATGTTCGCTGGACAGAGGCTAGGGGGGCACGAATCTGCCATTGTCTTTATTGACACGGACGGTCGGTTCGAAGCCGACAGACTACGAACTATCGCTCGCGGTATCGTGAACGATCGACTTCTACAGAACCTCGGACCCGAGCCACAAAGTATACCATCTGCACCATCTGCACTATCTACCCCAGACCTCGAATCCATGCTATCCTCATCCCTCCAACACGTCCACGTCTTCCGTCCTGAGTCCTCAGCTGCCCTCCTTGCCACCCTCCACAATCTCGAGACCTACCTCTACGACCTCCCCCGCCACTTCTCCTCGTCTCGCCCCCTCCACGCCATCTTCATCGACAGCGCGGGCGCCTTCTTCTGGCAAGATAAACTGCACGACGAGGTCGCTCGCACCGAGGAGATCGGTCTTCCGCATGCCGATATCGAGCGTGATCGTGCCCTCATGCAAAGCTTCTATCTTGCTGATCTCTATGCCGAGCTGGTTGCTCGGTTGAAGCTCCTGCAGAGGCTGTTTAGCTGTTCTGTCGTTTATACGAGTACTGCTTGGAGCAGACGGTCTGTGTCAAGTACGGGTACAGGTGCTGGTGCCGGTGGAAGTGCAAGTACAGGCGAGCGGTATGGGGCCTATCGTCCCTCCGGGCCGTTCGAGTTGTATAATCCTTTGGAAGAGATGGGGTCTGGGCCTCCGGGCCCGGCGTTTCGGTCACCGCTTCCGCCGCCTTGGGGCGTCTTTCCGGATCTGAGGCTCGTGGTGCAGAGGGATCGCGTGAGGGCGTTTCCGCACTCGTTGACGGCGGTGGCGGCGCAAGGGGAACAGGCGGCATTGAGGAGGGAGGTTGTCCTGCAGGGGCGGTTTCTGGTCTGGGTCAATGGTTGGGGGAGAGAGGATTGGCCGAGGAGAGTGCGTGAGGGTCTGGAGAGGAGGAATGGTGGGATGTTTGGATTTCGGGTTACGAGGGATGGGGTGTGGCTTACTTGAGTTGGTGCTTTGGCATTGCTCGGTCTGTGATATGTACGGTGGTTGTTGGACCACAGTGTTGTGGTTGATATTGGTGTATGCTATATGCTGTATGCGCAGTACCATCTTCTCTGTACAAGACTGCGTCTAGATATATCGCCTCACTCTAGCCAACGCCGGACATCCATCTCAAGCAAATAGCTTGCCAATTGCCTCGACCGTGGTATTCCCACCACTAAAGACAACGCCTATATCCCACCCATCCGGCGCCTCCTTCTCCACCATGCGTCGAAAGTCCTCGTTGAACAAACAAACCGCCAAACCCACCACCGCACTCGGCTCCACCACTACCTTCATCCGCTCCAAAACCAGCCTCATGGTCGCCTTGATCTGCGCCTCCGTCACAGCAAACACCCCGGCGACTTTGTTGCCGTCCGAAATCACTTCCCAATTCAACACCCCCACCGGCGTGCGCAGCCCATCCGCTATCGTCAGCGTCTTGACAGCCTGCACCCTCTCCCCGGCCAACAGCCCACGCCGACAATCATCCCCGCCTTCAAAGCTCGGCTCCGCACCAAACACCTTCGTCGACTCGTCGGAGAAAAACGTCGCGACGCCCGCATTCAACCCGCCGCCGCCCACGGGCGTGATCACCGCATCCAGCTGTCCTTCAGCCCGGGGTCCATGAACGCTCAGGCCCGGCTTCTCCGCCACCAGCGCCGCATACTGTCCCTGCATCTCCAGTCCCGTGGTCCCCTGCCCGCAAATGATATCGAAATGATCATACGGCGGGATCAAGAAGGCGTTGGTCTTTGCTTGCACCTCAGCTACCACGGCCTCGCGTTCCGTGCTCGTCGATCCGCTGAATATCACCTCCGCGCCGTACCCCTTCGTCCCCGAGATCTTGGATACCGTGCTGATTCGTGGCATGACCACGTACGCGGGGATGTGGAGCGTTTGGGCGGCGAGGGCGAGGGCTTGTGCGTGGTTTCCTATATTCATCACAAGAGACATTAGCATTTTTATACATATCTACTTCCCTCCTTTCATCACCAGGAAAAGACAAGGCAATTTAAAGGAAAGAAAAAGACAAACCAGATGAATGCGTAATAACCCCCCTCCCCCGCACAACCTCCTCCCCTTCCTCCTCAATCAACCTCAACAAAGCATGAAAGGCACCTCGGGCCTTGAACGCCCCGATGCGCTGATAATTCTCGCATTTGAAGAAGAACCGGATCGTTGGGTTTGATGGAGTCTGGCCTTCCCATTCGGTGCCGTGCAGCGAGTCGGCGGATTGGGGCGTCGAGGCGAGGTTGTTGAGCGTGGTGTTCGTGAGGAGGGGTGTTGTGTGGATGTACGGTTTTATGAGCGCGTGGGCGGTGGCTATGGCGCTTGGGGTGAGGGTGTGGATTGTTTTGGCCATTTTGAATTTTTCTTGAATTCTTCTTTGAATGATGATATAGTCTATAGAAGGTATGGTGAAGATTGAGGACTGAGGATGAAGATGAGAGAGGGGAAATGAGGGGATAAGACGGAGACCCCAGACGGACGGAATGTGCCGAGGTGCGTCTTCACGTCAGATTTTTCTCTACGTAGTTATGGCGTTATATTTAAGCAGGAAGATCATAACAGTGAAATATAAATAAATAATTATTTAAACTAAACTCCTAAAATCAATTCATGGTACAGTCATAACTTTTCCCATCCTTGGTATAGCATTACATTTATTTCTGGTTCTCGGGACGGAGGGAGCTGTGAATATAGAGTTAGCTTGGTTTCTTTTGGTTCAAGGTTGATCAAAAGAAAAACTTACCGAACGGCCTTGCCGGCACGCCAGATCTCGAGATCACGGATCTCCTGCATCTCCTTCTCGTACTTCTCACGGTAGTCCTTCTGCGAGTTGTACTCGAGCGAACGCTTGGTCTCGGTGCCGTCACGGACGCTGTCGTAGAGCTCGTTGAAGAGGGGCTTCAGGTTGTCCTTGAAGCGGCCGGACCAGTCGATGGCACCGCGACGGGCGGTGGTGGAGCAGGCAGCGTACATCCAGTCCATACCGTTGCCTCCGATCAGAGGGTACAGGGACTGGGTGGCCTCCTCGACGGTCTCGTTGAAAGCTTCGGAGGGGGTGTGGCCGCGCTCACGGAGAACCTCGTACTGAGCGAGGAACATACCGTGGATACCGCCCATCAGGCAGCCACGCTCGCCGTACAGGTCGGAGTAGACCTCCTTCTCGAAGGTGGTCTCGTAGAGGTAGCCGGAACCGACGGCAACACCCATGGCGATGGCCTTCTCCTTGGCCTGGCCGGTGACGTCCTGGTAGACGGCAATGGAGGAGTTGATACCACGGCCCTCACGGAAGAGAGTGCGGACGGTACGGCCGGAACCCTTGGGGGCGACGAGGATCACGTCGACGTCGGTGGGGACCTCGACCTTGGTGAGGTCCTTGAAGACGGGGGAGAAACCGTGGGAGAAGTAGAGGGTCTTGCCCTTGGTGATGAGGGGCTTCAGGGTAGGCCAGGTCTCACTCTGGGCGGCGTCGGAGAGCAGGTTCATGATGACGGTACCCTTCTCGACGGCGTTGTTGACGTCGAACAGGTTCTTGCCGGGCACCCAGCCGTCCTGGATGGCCTCCTTCCACGAGGCACCGTCCTTGCGGACACCGACGATGACGTTGAGACCCTGGTCACGCAGGTTCAGACCCTGACCGTGACCCTGGGAGCCGTAGCCGATGAGGGCAAGGGTGTCGTTCTTGAAGAACTCCTGCAGCTTCTCACGGGGCCAGTCCCCACGCTCGTAGACGGTCTCCTTGTGGCCGGCGAAGGACATGTTCTTGATGCCACGGACGGCGGTGGTAGGGAGGGAGACGCGGGGGATGGCATTGGCAGCAGCCTTAGCCAGGGCGGGTCGGGGGAGGGCGGCGGAGACGACGGAGCGAGGAGCAGCGACACGGGTCAGGCGGAGGGCCCGGGGGAGTCCACGAGAAGCCATTGTGAAGGTTGTGTGTGTGGTGAGGAGAAACGGAGGAAAGGAATTGAAGAAGGAGAAAAGGATCAAGATGGGAGGAAGAGGGGAGAGGGGAGAGATTTCAGATGGATTGACAATGGAGGAGAAAGAGAAGGGGAAAAAAGACGGACGTTGCGAGGTTATAAGCTTCGGTCTGCCGCTGGGGAGCTCGTTGCGTGGAGGGGCACGTGATCCCGGAGTTGCGCCCTCCCTCCCCGGCCGATGTCGGATTGGACGCCACCTGATTGGCTGCGGGGAGCGGGCGTTTATGTAATATCGGCCCGTTCGCAGATCGACTCGTCTTGGATTTTTGCAGCAGACGATAAGCTTGTCATTCACAGCGGAGGAATGACTGTCATCCTTTGGATTACGAAGTAGTCATTCTGCTAGGACATAAATCCTAGATGGTTTGTCTACAGGATTCTATCATTTCTTAGACCGGCGTCGGTGTTCTTTGCGTTTTTGACTTCGAACTTGAGCCGAAGCTTTCGCTGAGAACCAGTTACAGTGCCCTCAATAACTAATATACCTCACACATTGTGACCATAGTGATATGCTCTGTCCCCTGTAGCGCAAAGACTGGACCGGTCGAGGAGACTGAGGAGTGGAACCCAGGGCCACTGTGGAGTTCGGAGCGGAGCCGGATGCAGATGCAGCGTCAGCCGGGTGACTCTGCATCTGGGGAAAATCTGTCCACTGGCAGTGACTCACTCTAATAGGGGCCTGGACTTAGCAATGACCGAGTTTGGGTTGGCTGAAACTTCAGATTATTCTGGTAGTCATGGTTCTTCCAATCAGTTTGCTAATAGCTGTATAGATTTCGTAGCCGTTCAGTGTCATTCCGGATGTGTTACGCATCGTGCATAGGTACCTGGCAGTTCAAAGGTCAACATTGCAGCTTCGAGATCTGTTTCAATGCTGCAGGCTACTTTGTGTTTCGTATATGGTGTTGATGTTGCGCAAGTTTAAATTAGCTTTCCGAGTATACAAATCCCGACGGATGGATTGGTGAGATTGATTTTACTTTAACCTTTTCTAATTTCTTGTATCTCTTTCTCGAATGAATTCGTCAATTTATCCATCAAATGGGACAAATAGTGGGTAGGGGCCTCGATACATACCATATTTGTTCTTCGTATCTAATTGCGGGCTGTGTTTGGATCTATCCATGCTTGCCTCGCGCTTGTTTAACTTTCAAGTAAAATTGTTCAATCATTCAGAACCCGTGATCTATACTTTCGGGAATCCTCGTTCATGATAATTCCCCTTTCTTGTATTCTCATCATGCACTGCATAGACCTTCCCCTCCTTCAGCGCCTTCACAACTGCTTTCTTTCTGCTCTCACTCTCCGGAACATGGCGAGGAATCTGGCCCTTAATAGTCACACGCACTCCATGACGATGAAGTGGTGCATAATCATGCGTGGCACGGTGCGTGGTAGTACTGGGCTCGGTCAGCAATTTATATAGCATACATAAACCCGACCTCTAGACGGAAGATAACATACCGATTATCCCACAATGCCACCGAGTTCTTCTCCCACCGGAAACGGACCGTGTGATCCTGCGCCGTATGGATGTGAGTGAAGAGCAGTTCGAGGATCTTATCCGATTCGTAGCGCTTGAGACCGTCGATTCGGGTGACGAACCCCGAGTTGAGGTTCAGGACTTTGTATCCAGTGACCGGGTGAGTGGTCACGACTGGGTGGAGGGTTTCGACGGGTCTTTCTTGAGGTGATCGGCCCCAGTGGTTGAGGACGGAGTCGTAGACGTGCTGGTGGGGTTGTTAGTGAATGGAAATGACTGTAGGCTTCGAGGGATGGTCTACCTCGGAGCTGTGCCATGCTTTCAATCCATCTGCGAAATGTTGAAGGGGCTCTGATAGCGTTTCATATGTGCCGTATCCGGAGATCCTACTTTTGTGAGAATTGAAAGTGCATTAAAGGGTGGGATGTTACTTACCACGCAGTGTCTCCGCCGGTAGGAGGCAGTTCGTCGATTCTCAAAAGCGAGAATGAAGGAGGATTCGCTTGGAAGCTGCTGTCCGCGTGGAAGTCGGCAAAAGGCCACTTGAAATGAACATAAACTCCTCGGTAGTCCCTGTATCGCGTGAGCATCGCTAGTCATTTTCAATTGAGGGCTTCCTTTCAGACTTACTCTTCCTGCTCTTCAATGCCGTTTACGATGGGTCTTCCTGCTGCCTTTTCGTCTTCCGGGTCCGGAAGAAGTTCGGGAATACCTTGCGTTGCTTGTCAGTTGAACATATCTTGGATATGAATGAAAGATATAGATGCAACAATACCATAATAATCGAATAGTTCGCGTTGTTGCTCGGCCGTGATATCCTGATCCCGGAAAAAGACAACGCCCCGATGAGCCACCAACAGGGCTAATTCATCTTTCTGTTCATCTGTCAATGCAGAAAGCTGGATGCCAGTAAGAAGAGTTCCCAGGGACGGTGTCAGATCGGTCCGTTTAACATTGGCCAGTAGGTGCGGGAGATTGGGGTCGGCAGAGAGACCACGATCCCGAGGAACGTTGACAGGCTCACGGATACCGCGAGGAGGAATGTGATCACCTAGCGGCCGCGGAGGAAGAGCTCGTTGATAAACCGCAGGTAGCTCGGGAGTGGCTTCGTACTGGATGGTGGTCGGTTTGGTGTCGCTGTAAGCCTCGACGGGCTGGCCGTTAACGGTAAGAGATGGAGCCATTTGGAATTCGAGCTATCCTGGATGATTTGGATATTTTGTTTATTTGCTATAGAGCTGTTCAGGAATATATAATAAAGAAGACGGAATATTTCCGGGGTTTTATTAGTATAAATGGCGTCATTGTATGGTTTGGTTGCATAAAAGAAACCGTCTGTGATGCTAGTTGGTAGTCGACCACGGCGAGTCATTTGGCTTATATTTTGATTTGCTACCCTTGCTACTTATCTCCCGACAGAAAAGGAAGAAGACGAATATGCTGAAGGCCTGGCTAGATCCTGGTATTGCATATTAATAATCGCGCGATTCCTAGAGGCATCGTCCTATCGGGAGTGGGATACTTGCTGCATGACACTACAATAGTTGGGTATGATGTGATCTTAGTCGCCATCAGGATTCATGGTATCATGAAGCTTGAATCGTATATAGAATGGATTTTGTGTTCCTAGATTCCGGAGTGATTTGACCGAATTGCAGATATCATATCCCTGGTTGAAAGCAGATAAGCGAGATATCCAGAAAAATATGGATGGTAAACAAGCACAGAACGATGCTGAAGAGGTATCTGAGCCCTCTGAAATTGTCTCCCCCCCTTTGCCATCTTCCAAAATTTCTTTCTTTCGTTCAACGTTCTTCCAAGCCCTGGTTATCGCAGGTGTGTTCTTCTGTGGCCCGGGCATGTACGGAGCGCTGAATGCACTGGGCGCGGGAGGGTTGAAAAGCCCACTGCTGGTGAACATCACGTCTGGGCTATCCTATGGGCTCAATGTCATCTTTGCACTTCTCACTGGAGTCTTCGTGAACATTTTGGGGGAGCGTATTGTATTGAGCCTCGGGGTAATAGGCTTCAGCATCAATGGTGCCTCGTTGTATTGCAACAACATGTTTGGCAATACCTGGCTTATGTACTTTTCCTCTGCTTTGCAGGGATTTACGACAGCACTTCTTTGGTACGTTGCTCCGCATTTTTGTTCAGAAAAATGCTAACTCTATCGTCTCGGTCAGGGTTGTCCAAGCTGCGATCATGCTGGCGTACCCAGAGCCGGACTTTAAAGGCAGGTTCAGTAAGTACCAATCCGAGGCCTCTGTGCATATGGATGTCTAATGGAACAGTCGCTATCTGGTATACCTCCATCGCGTTGGGTCAGTCAGTCGGAGGAGCTCTTGCTCTTGGTTTCAATGTGTCGAATAAAGAAGCCGGCGCTGTTACTCCGGGTAAGCTTAAAAACATGGGTTTCAAGATCCCGAGCTCACGGTTTCTCCTAGTCACGTACATCCCCCTCATCGCAATTGCTGCTTGCGGTCCCTTCATTGCACTTTTGATATCTCGACCACATCAAGTCATTCGTCGAGACGGTGTGAAGGTTTTGTCGAAGAAGCAGCCAAACGCATGGCAAGAGGCAAAGAGGGTATTTAGTGCCGTGAAAAGACGAGAAGTATGGACCACTGTCATTGATAGTTATTCATTCTCAGTCAAGCTGACCAGATAGAATAGATGCTTCTCCTTCTGCCTCTCTTCATCTACTCGCAATGGTTCCTCTCCTACAACAGCACCTTCACAGCAGTTTATCATTCTGTCCGCGGCAGAGCCCTTACTTCCCTCACGAGTGCGTTCGCAGGAGTTGCTGGGACCTTTGCAGCCGGGGTCTTTCTCGACAACCAGAAACTCAGTCGATCGACCAAGTTCCGCTGGTCGTATTTTGCCATCTATGCGCTGTACACTCTGACATGGGTATGGGACACGGTTGTGCAATGGTATTATTCCAAGACGAATCCGGTGGGTTTGGATTGGGCGCAGTCCGAGTTCTACGCGAGCTTTCTCTTAATTCTTGTCAAGGGGTAAGTGCCAACCACCCAGAGCATTGTGGAGACGCTAAAATAAGACAGGTTTGTCGACCATGCTTTCCAAACGTGGATGTATGCGCTCATCGGCACTCTGACGGAGGATGTCGACGAACTGACTAGGTATACCGGGTTCTTGAAGGCCGTGAATACGGGTGGTGCAGCATTAGGTTATGCCGTTCAGACGAAGTGGAGTATGATGGGGTCAGAAGCGCTGTTGTAAGTGAGTTCTCTTCTGTGTTTGTTATTTGAAGTTAATGTTTTCCTAGGCTTGGCTTGTGGGTAGTTCAAATCGTTCCTACCTGGCTGATGGTGAGGGAAGTGAAGGATTAATGTGCCGTTGGTGGTGGTGAGAGAGTGGATGCTAAGAAGGTATACAATCTCGGAGAAATTGAAGCTTTAGATGCAGTATTAAAGAGAGAGAGTATATTCAACTTGCCGTGATAATTGCCAAAGATGGTATGCTGTGGTTTCTGTTGATTAGCTATAAGCATGTACATATATGTGGCACTTTGGCTTGTCCTTGGAATCCCCAACATGACCTTGAGGCTTCAAGATAATTACATGGACCTACTTATGAGGCAAAACAGATAGAAAGAGTGAATGAATCCAGATTCTACCTCGGCTTGGAAATGAGTTACTTATCTTGCCAAGTATTCCTTGCCAGGCTGGCTGCTTGATTGGAGGCCAGAAAAAGATCGAGGTGATAAGATGTAAGTATTTTTGCCTGGCATTTTAGTGAATGTCGTTTACTTTGTTTGCCTCAGGACGCGGCCTTCCCTCTAGACCTCCCCCACCTCCCCCAACCTTTTCTCTCTCCCTTCTTTCTCCTCACCCTCATCCTCATTCTCATCTCCTTATCTCTTCCCATTCTTGTCTTTCTCGTCTTCTCAATTCCCTCTTCTAGGATAGCCAGTTCATATCCACTAGGCTCTTCAACTTTCATTCCCTTTGGCTAGAACATTCATTTTTCAGGATTAGTTGGCTTCTCACGCAAACATCGTTTGATAGAAGAAGAAAGGACAACATTCTGTACTATTTTGTTGTCTGTTGTCAACAGTTTGTATTTCACCAAGTTGTGATTATTCTTACCTTCCTTGATTCCCCGCCGTGAAGGATCTCATTGAAAAGCGCTCCATTATAGAGCTTCTATCAAGTCACCACTAGTCATGGCGTATGGAACACCCCGGCGTATGACTTTAGCGGCGAGCATGTATTTGTTTCATCATATATTCCTTCCACCAAAGCTCCCACAGGCCGATGACTACAACGGAGAGTACGGAATAATCCTTCTCGACATAGTTTGTGATGCCCTGCGTGACTTCAGTTCCCATGTCCAGAGCCCAGATGCCGGTATCATAAAAGGAGGATTGTCAATGATGGATGGCCTGAGAGCTACTTTTGGAACCGAAAGCGAAGTGAATGAGAGACAATTGACAGAGGCTCTACAGAAATTGGATACAGAAGGTATGTAGAGAGGGTCCCAATCTTCATAGGCCGATTTAACCAGACCCTAGGTGGCTTTCTCCCTATTTATGTTCGGGACCAAAATGCAGCAATATTGCTCACAACGACTGAGAGTGCAATCAATGTGGAATCTTTTGAACTATCTCCTCGCAACGGAGATGTCATGTCGACAGTTGGTCGTCTCCAACGGGTTTTCCCAGGGCCTACTATCGCTTTCAACCGGAGCACTTTTAGTGATCCACGATTCCTCAAGGCTTTCGCCCAAACTGTTGCCAGAATGAGCAACCAGACTGCCCCAAACACCCTGATGAAAGTGAAAAAAGCCGGTCAAATGCACAATGAGGATCGAGATACGACGCACCCAAAGATGGTGACAGAATTTATTATGGCTATTCTGCGTCCTCGATCAACTGAAGTACATGCGCTGCAGATTCAGAAGAACACTCGCGAAGAGATTCTGTGGAGCAATTGTCGCTCGCCATGGCGAAGGTCTGCCCTATGGTTGCTGGTCCGAGTGGTACTTCATTTGATCTTTTACAGAGAAAGAAAGTCTGATGACCTGTACAAAAGCTTTATGGTTTTTTTTATGACATCAATCATCAGACTATCTCCATTGGAAATGACGAGTGAGAACCTGTATCTGATGAATGCGAAAGTTGCCCGACGAATTCTCAAGCTAGGGCTATCTGATGAGCCTTCCTGGTTCAAATCCGTCCAACAGAGTTTGAGACAAACGAATGATACAATCAAGACCAGATGGCAAGAAAGTATGCAACGAGAGAATCAGCCAGATATGCAGTCATTGAGAGAATTAGAATTCATGCGGGATATCTATCATGAACTTCCCAATCTCGATCAGCATGTTGCGAGCATTCATGATCGACGCGATGCTAAAAACCCAGCTTTCCAAAAATACCAACCTCAGCTGAAGCTTTACTTGTGCAAGGCCACAGAGCTTCCGGTGCACCTGGATATGGCCGATGCCGAGTATCAAATTTTCAACCTTGTTGCGATGGAAGATTGGGTGGCAGTAAATCTCGATCGTTGGTTAGACGGTCACCGAGGCAAAGAAGACACGTGCGGTCGACTTGGTGAACTGATGATTGCCTACCACAATTCTGCGTCTCCACTGTATTCAAAGAACCCCGAGGCGTTGTCTGTCATGGTACTTACCATCCTGGAGCTTTGGATTGCATGTGACAAGTCTGCCATGAATTTGCATCGTCTTTTGCGCGAGTATGATCCGGGCGTACCGAGATTTATATTCCGGTCACTTTTACTGCCTTTCGAATCTCAAATGGATAGATTAGCTCGCGCCGAAGAGTATTTGCGCCAACGTGAGAATGCCGTGAGATACCCAGGGAGCTCTGTTTTTCAAGACTTTGGCACGCAATCGTGCTTCTCTGTCCGATATTTCGACCAGTCGGACAGCCACCAACTACTTCTCGAGGCAATTGAGAACCGAGCAACACGCGAAAGAGCAGAGAAAAAGTCAGAGCTTCTGCAAAAACAGCAAAGATATAACCGGTTAAAAGAGTTGGCCGCCAATACAGAATGCAAATATGTGGATGTTGTTCTGGACGCACAATTCGACATACGGGAGTATCGTCATAGTTCCAACTGTGCTCGTTGTGGATACGAAGCTGAGGCTAATGGAATCAGCATCAGTGTCCATGAGTGGCCTTTATCCGCCGACGCTTTGCAGGCCAAATCAACAGTCTTTGAGCTGAGGGTTCCTCGAACTTTCGGAGATTGGCGAGAAGCAACCATATTTTTCATCTCTAAAGCTTTGGGTTACCAGTATTCTGCCATAAGGTCGCCGAGAGCAACATACGAGCCAAATACATACCAGGGTCTTTCCACAGACTTCGTCGCCTTCAAAGGTTGTCAAAGAATTGGTCTTCTCTCGCAAGAGAAACCCCACGAAGCGACCCACCGAAAGAATCAGCGGATTATCAACGTAGATGTAAGCGACATTTGCCTGTTGAATGGGCTACACTTTCGGTATTTCGACCATGACCTTAGGTGTTTTGTTGAAGATTTCCAACCCACACTCAAAATTGCGAAGATGTGCACGTATCAAATGCCACAGGACAGCGTGTCTCTGCAGCAGTTTCTGTTCCGACCCGCAAAGGAGCCGAATGGCCCTCCTCCCAATACTGTCATCGCAAGTCAGTTTGCCGCCCCACCGAAAGTCTCATTGGAAGAATACAAGTCGCTCACAACAATGCCACTGGGCGTGAAGCTCCAATGGCAAAATATCCTGTTGGAGCTATCCACATCAGCGGTAGACTTCAAAAAGGTTGAAACGGTGATATTTATCCTTCAAATCATCAACCAAGCTGGTCCACCGCAGTCGCATGCCAAGATGAGAGAGGGACATAGAGTTCTGAGTGACGAGACTTTTGTAGTTGCATTACTCGATCGTATCCAAGAGGCTAAAGAAAGGATGAAAGAGAACTGGGCCTTGGTCCAAGGCCTGTACGCGCTTATATGCCTGGTAACGAGAATTCTGTCGCTCTCATCTTCTCCAGATATCGAAACTTTATGCCTTCACCACCTGATGGAGTTTAGGCAGATTACGCTTCATTGGACCAGCCTTGTGAAAGAGGAGATCAATCAAGTCACCGAAGACAATCACAGAACTCTTCTAATTGCGAAGAATTTCCACATTGCTTTGGTATGTGCGGAGACGTTCAATGTTGAGAACATGATTCCCATATTTGCAACACCACTAGATTTGTCCATCTATATCCAGTGCTGTATGATGATTCATAATTTGAAGGGCTCCTTATCCATGGAAACTGATCCATTGATGTCAATTTTGTACTATCGTTGGCAAAACCTGACCTACCGCAGCCACCCATTGCTGGTAGCTAAGATTGTTGTTGGACATGACCCAGGATTAAACATGGCTATCAAGGAAGCTTGGGCGGCCTACACCCCACATAAGAGTTGGTCGAAGGCGCTGAATGAGTGTGACTATTGGTTGACTACACAGACTGCGCCTCAACCCGCTCATGATGCCGGTATGTTGGTTCATCTGAATCTGATGACAGGGGAGCTGCTTGTCAACGGTCTTCCGTTGGCTCGTCTGCCTTCAAATTATGAGCAACATCGAGCCTACCAGACCCTGTTCGGGAAGTCCCAGTTGGAAGTGATGCCAAGTGACATACCCGGGATGCAGTTCTCTTGTAGGAAGCAATATATGGCGCATACTGTCTACTTGGGACTCGACCGCGGTGACCTGCTGGTTCGAGCGGCTGAAGAAGATAACGCGTGGGAGCTTATTCCATCGAGATTGTTCATCGGTTTACTCCCTGATGACTTCGTGGAAAGCTATACACACTGGTACTCTGTAAACGATGGATATATTGAGTTTAGACCTGCCAAGACTCCCTGGCGTTCATCTAAATTCAATTGGCGTCTACGGAAATCCCAATCACGCACTGTTTGGTATCTGGCGAGAAACGGCACCTACTTGGTCAGCATGACGAGTGGAACGGCAAAATTACTTTCCGCAATATTTCATCCGGTGGAGAAAGCTTCGAGGCTGCACTGCATATTACATTGGCGAGAAATAGCCGTAGAGGTTGAGATACCTCGTCTTCGATTAGAGTTTTTCTTACAGGCGAAATGCTCCTTGATTCAATCTCGACAGTATCCTGGAATGTCGGTAGATCCCAACCAGTCGCTTGATACATTAATCGGACTGCGCAACAAAATATTGCTGGTCAAAAACAATGCTCAAGATCGAGTGCTTCTCATACCCGAGGGCGATGTAACATGGGAGAAGAACGGTGATCATGTGGGCGTCAAGATACTGTGGAGGCCCGAGACCAATCTCCATGCGTACGGCATTGATATTGAGATAGGCCGTGTCATTGACAATGGAAGCTTGCAAAGCAAGCTCTTCTTGTCCTATTTGCATGCTCTGACATCATCTTGTCTGTCTGACCCTTTGTTAAAAAAGACCGGAACCGAGCAGGCGCTATCTATCCTTCGCTGTGCGTCGGTCAGGTCTTTTGATAAACTCGCACCAGAACACGTGTATCTCCTCGAAAAAATCGCTCTACTCACTCCAGGGAGAAGATACTATCCTGCCAATGAGCGCGTCATGCAAGAAGTTCACTGGCAGCCTCATCTAAGCTCCTTATCTCAGCATAACGGATTCTACGAGGAGGTGAAAGCGATACTGGACCAAGACCGTCGTATGGGAGTCTTCGATCCAGCTAAAAAAGCCTATCATCTTTCTCAGTCACATGTAGAAGACGCCTTGTTACAACGCGACAAAATTAGAATCTCGTCGTTTCGAGTGTCAGGATTTGGCGGAGACGACCACTCGCAAGAGTACGACTCACGCCATGAAGGCCTTGACCGTATTACGCGAAACTACCAACGGGTCACAAGTTTTCACCATTTGCAAGATGATCTACGAGAAAATCCCCTCTGTGAGAAATATCGAAGCAGGTTTGCTTATGCCTCATATTTGGAAATTTCTTTTGCAAGCCCCTCAGGTGGTTGGGCCGAGTGTCCAAGTCGACGTTGCCAGGATAAGATACGACGCACAGTTGATTCAAGAGCCTGGAATGTTCGTTGCAAGCCATTGGTGCAGCATTCATCGCCTACTTTGCTCCCATAACCCCTTTCTGGACATGTTCCAGGTAATGATTTGGCTGTCAACGATGGCATTTTCGGAAAAAGGAGATATTGTGGTCTTGGAAACTCTTGCATCATTGTTTATAATGCCCCAAGCAGCGTCTGAAATGCCGCCCACTCGAGCCTCCTTCCGACCAGAATTGGGGTGCGAATTCGACAGGGCTCGATTAGAACTTCGGATGAAAGGAATGTATAGTGCGCAGACGCCCGTATCTAACTTCGTACGTAAGGCGCACGAAACAAGGAAACAGTTCCGTTCAAGCAAAAACAAGGTACTCACGAGGAACCGAACCCTGGTAATTGAAAACATGATGAATCACTTGAAACGCCAGTGGGAAGATCGTACTTTTTCAAATCCGGCCCCCGACGCTGATCCAAAGATGGCTGATTATCTGAATGTGCGAGATGTCTTGGAGAGCGCCAGGGAATGCTTCACTAGCTGGCGCGAGAATGGAGAGTTGAGGCAGTATCTCACCAAGCTTGGGAATCTTCTCGGAGGTGGCATGGCTCAATCGGTTGAGCTGCCCCCGTACCGGTATTCCTATCCAGACCATACTGTACATGTGCGACAGAAAAGCAGATCAGTACGCCTCGATGATTTATTGATCCATCCACCGGATCTCGAGATAACCCAACCAGAATTGCAAGAAGTCAAAGGCATTTTTTCGCCTAGCAAGCTGCCTCTACACCGTATCACTGCTTTAGTCGAGACTTTGAGATTGCAAGCCAAATCAAGTTACGAGATGTGGTACGTCGACCAGCTGCAGAGCAGTGCTACATCATTACAGAAGGCTGAAAGAGTAACGAATACTGGACCATTGACAAACGACCTGAAAGACCGTATCACTGACTACATTGTCATGTGCCAAGAATATGCGGATGGGATATACGCCAGGATCATCGCCCAGATATCGCAGCCCAGCACGACAATTCTGGGGCCGAGAGACTCTATGAGTGTCAAAGTTCTTGCCACATTAGCTGCTGTGAATCAATGGCCGAGGGTGTCGCCACTCCATTTGCTCGAACAACTGTCGCGCAGCACCTGGCATCGACTACCGATTGGTTGGAAGCGAGCATTAATTATGTATGGATGTGCTATCACAGCACTTCAACGGGCAAAAAGACTCGCTGGCCTTACCAACAAATGTGATGAGTTCGTAAAGGAGCTTCAAAACCCTGGACATGAAAACTGGGATCCCTTAGAATACCCCGAGTCCCTTTTGATGGAGATAGAGAATGGGATTCTGATCCGGGACGTCCAGGAAGATATTGCCAGGCAGATGATGCAGTTTGGTCCGGGTGAGAATGCCGTCATGCAACTGAATATGGGCGAGGGTAAGTCGTCGGTCATCGTTCCTATTGTGGCCACAGCTCTTGCAAACGGGTCGTGTCTTGTCCGAGTGATTGTCGCAAAGCCACAGTCTAGACAAATGTTTCAGATGCTCGTTTCGAAATTGGGAGGCCTACTGGGGCGACGCGTATATCATATGCCTATATCGCGATCAGTCAAGTTAGGACAAGAAGAGGCCGATGAAATTGAGCGGATGTGCCGTGAATGCATGGATCAAGGCGGCGTTTTGCTCGTCCAGCCAGAACACATACTTTCATTGAAGCTCATGTGCGTCGAGTGCTTCATCTTAGGAAAAGAGGAGGTGGGTCATTCTCTACTACGAACCCTGAAGTTCTTCCAGGAATCTTCGCGTGATGTCGTGGACGAGAGCGACGAGAACTTCAATGTGAAGTTTGAGTTGATCTATACCATGGGAACTCAGCGTTCTATTGAGTTCAGTCCTCAGAGATGGGTGATTGTACATCAGGTATTAAACCTGGTGCGTGCATATGCTTCTGGTGTCAAAGAAGCGTTCCCAAGATCAATTGAGGTGGAGGAGCAACAGCCCGGGAGCTTTCCTAGACTTCGGTTACTTAACCGAGATGCTGAAAACGAGCTTCTTTCGCGCATAGCAACCCACATCTGTGATTATGGGATCGGAGCCCTGCCAATCTCCAGACAGCCCCATGGGGTCCGAAAAGCTGTGCTCACATACATAACGAAGGCTGAGCTGACAAACCAGGAGATTGCGGCGGTTGAAAGCGACGGACCAACAGGTTTTTGGACAGAGACTACCAAAGAGCCGCTCCTGTTGTTGCGCGGTCTGCTAGCTGGGGGAGTATTGGCTTTCTGCCTTACCCAGAAACGCTGGAGAGTCAATTACGGACTTGATCCTAACAGAGATCCTGCGACGAATCTTTGCGTCCCCTACCGAGCCAAAGACAATCCTTCTCTTCGGTCTGAATTCAGTCACCCCGACGTTGTCCTGATACTGACGTCTTTGAACTACTACTTCTCCGGATTAAATGATGGCGATTTGCTTTTGGCCTTTCTTCACCTGGTCAAGTCAGACCAAGCCGATATTGAATACCAAGAGTGGGTCAAAGATACATCGTCGCTTCCACATGTCTACCATCAGCTCGTTGGAGTTAATCTGGATGATCAGCAGCATTGTGCAGCCCGTATTTTTCCTGCTCTCCGATTCTCGAAGTCGGCAATAGATTATTTCCTCTCTCATATTGTCTTTCCCAAAGAAGTCAAAGAGTTTCCAGACAAACTGTCCGCATCAGGCTGGGACATTGGAGAGGTCAAAGATAACCCAACAGTTGGCTTCAGTGGAACAAACGACTCACGGAAGACGTTGCCTCTGAGCGTCCAACAGCTGGACCTGCCAGAGCAAAATCACACCAATGCCTTGGTCTTAGAGTACCTTCTGCGACCTGAAAACTCGGTAGTATGTATCCCGGATTCCCACAACCTAGCTCAGTCGGATGCCCAGCGTCTGCTGGATCTTGTCTCGAGTTTGGACCCGTCGGCTCAGGTAATCCTTGATGTCGGGGCGCAGATCCTGGAACTAAGTAACATACAAGTCGCAAAGCATTGGCTAGAAATGCTTCCAAAGACGGGACCAATCCAGGGTGTAGTGTTTGTCAACGATAATGACGAGATAGTTGTCTTGGACCGCAATGATCGTGTGGAGCTTCTGCAAATATCACCGTTCGCGCGACAAATGGAAGCTTGCTTTGTCTTCCTTGATGAGGCGCATACAAGAGGCATTGACCTCAAGCTTCCCACAAATTACCGTGCAGCTGTTACCCTAGGCCCGGGTATTACTAAAGACAAACTGGTTCAAGGTGAGTGATTCAGAAGAAAAGCTCTCCATGGATATGAAGAAAAAAAACTAACGAGATAATTAGCCTGTATGAGAATGAGGAAACTAAGAAATGGGCATTCCATCGTCTTTTGTGTTCCTCCGGAGATACGTTTCAAAATCAGGGAACTACGTGACAAAAGTAGCAACTCGGAAATCAATGTATCAGATGTTCTCTGTTGGGCGGTTTCCGAGACCTGGGTTGAAATCCGACGCAGCATACCTCTGTGGGCGGTCCAAGGTAGGCGCTTTGAGCGTCAACGCAAGATATGGCACGATGTGCACCACAAAAAGTCCGGAGCCCTGATCTCATCTCATGCCAAAGACTTTCTCGAGCCCGAATGCCAGAGCCTCGAGCAACGATATAGACCCGGAGCTGGAGACACCATGGCCATCTGTGAAACATCGGATGTTACGGAGAATCTGGAGTTGATTGAAGAAAGGTGCCGAGAATTTGATAACCTCAATTTGGCATCCGCTACGCTTCAGGAAGAACAAGAACGTGAACTCGCGCCGGAGATTGAACGCGAGCGTGAAGTTCAACGGCCGCCAGCCGTCACTCCTCAAATACATCAACTGCACCCGGATTTGCACAACTTTGTAGCCACGGGCAGGATCAAACCTAACTCTGAAGCTTACAGCCCTGCTTTCAAGACATTGAGAAACACTTCTGCAGCATCGTTTCTGGATGTCTCTAAGTTCCCCTGTGACCTGCTTGTAACAAAGGACTTCGCTACCACCGTCCAGCCCTTCCAAGGCACAAAATTTACTGCGAATTCTTTTCAGCGGCCAGTGCGGTGGATCCTGACAAGTGATAAGCGCGACGCTTCATCTGGGAAGCGAGTGGTGACAAATATGGTCATAATTAGCCCATTCGAGGCCCAGAATGTGATTGATCGTGTCGCTCTATCAAGGCTTGTCACGCTCCATGTCTATACGCCGCGCCAGAACCGCAGTTTTCCTTCCTTGGATAGACTGATGCTTTACAATGTATCCAAAGAGCCCGGAGAGATCGAAGTCCCAGAGACCCTTCGACTCCTGCTCAATCTATTCGCGGGACAGCTGTATCTTGATTCCTACTCGGAATATCAGCGACTATGTGAATTCTTGGGTGTGGCTTCGGAAAAAACGTCAGAAGGATTGGTGGTTGCTGCGGACGGTTTCATCCTCCAAGGGGGCAACAAATCCAAAACTCCCTTCCAGCAGAGTCCCCTTAAGTTTCTCAGAATTCTTCTGTCGGAGGTACGCAAGGACTGTCGAGACATCGATAAGACACATCTGGGTCGGATCGTGAACGGCCGTCTTTTGCATCCTTCTGAGTTCGAAGAGACTCCAGAACAATCGGGGTTGTGGGATGAATTACGGTCGTCTTGTCCATTTCTCTGATTTTGAAGGAAGTAAAATCTTGGTTTCGATTAATTTATGGACATTTGTGGTGAATTATTGGAATCTTTTGGATTGCGTTGGAAATTGTACCTGGGTTGTGTGTAATGCACCAGAAAAGATCTTCTTTCTTTCGAGACGTCCTGTGTTAAACTATGAAGAATTGGAATGATCGCTGGCTATGAAGCCTTATTATCCAGACTCATTCCACGTGATAAAACTGTTCTTCTCAGAACATCTCAAAAGATGTAATCCTTCTACAATACTTTTTCTGATACCATGCCATCCAAAGGTATCCAGCGACAAACCTTTGATAAGTGTACTAGATTCGTTCTAACTGACAAGATCTATACTATACCAAGCGCACCTGATCTTAACGCCGTGAATCTTCAAGAATGGACAGCCCACTCATGTCTCACCCCATTCTCATCCTGTTGCGGATCCATTGTCCTCGTATACCTAGTGGCGACTGGCGAGTGACTCCTGGCTCCCGCCACTCAACCCTCCCGTCGATGTCGAATTCTGCACCGCGACATTAGCATGATGTTTCCCTCCCATGGGTTGCAGACACAACTGGCTCGAGTTGTCCTGCAGTGGCTGAAATCCCCCGTCATCAGCGGGCTTGGGCCCTGAAGGAGCCGAAGATTTGGTTGGTCGTCGGGCCGTCACTTCGGGCGTGTACGTCGAGCGCCCTAGCAGTGGGCGCATCAATGGGATGGAAGAGAGGATAACAGCGAGGCAGGGCTCAACACCGCTGAAGATGTTGGCTCGTGGAAGCGTGAAGGTAATGTCGTTGAAGTCCATGGTCGACAGAACGGAGATGCGAAGGGCGCTGATGATGCAAGTGCTGGATTTAGGTTAGGCTGAGTTCGCGCTCGTTGAGACAACAATGACCTACACTAAACCTAGTCCGAAGACCGTGATCAGCGTCACCTTCTTATAAGTTGCCATTTGCAGTCGATATAGCAAAGGCATCGGAATCACCAGCACCACCACATCGGTGACGAGATTGATGACCCCTGTTGCAGTGAACGAAGTGACCTGATTCCCGCAAGATCCACCGGGGATGGTTTGATCCCAATTGAAGGCAAAGGGCCGGCAGATCAGGCAACCTGCCAGTATCGTGGCGATGGCCCAGGCCACGATCACTCCGATAGTGGTCCATGCGATCCCCACAAGCCAAGTAACGGGGAAGATCCGGAGATAGAGTAGCAGGATCGAGATCTTGGTGCAGCTGAGACTCAGCACCCACAGAAATTGCAGTGGAATGATCAGTTGCAGCAGTTTCGTTATGGGCCCCGGACCATATACAGCTGCGATTGACGCCACATGGTCATACCCAATGCCGGCTTGGTAGACGCCGGTGATACTGATAGATTGGAGACCCACGGCAAATATCTGCATGAAAAAGCCTTTAGTATAGTTGACGCATTTTGGGTGGTTCGCTTACGCAGGCGGCTATAATGAAATAGTCACTGGGACTCCATTTCTTCTGCGCAAGATGGTGCGCTAGCAGACGCAGACACACGGCGATGACGGCCAAGATAGAAAAGGCGAGAGCCACGCCGAGCACCTCCCTCTGGGCCTGGGTTTCGATAGGGAAGATGACCGGCATTTCATGTCCTTGGCTGTTTCAGTAAGCATCCTGGAATACCCAAGTATTTAAATAATTTTCTCGTGTCGCCTTCTGAGGCAAGGTCAGGGGAAATCCCGAGGACTAGCGAAGACCGAAAAATGGATGCACATGCCGGCAGCATGGACTCAAATCCTTCGGTGTCTGGCGGGTATGTCATGTCAAAATTAGCTCTGCTAAACTGGAATCAGCAGGGATAAGCACGCCCCAAACTCGGTAAAAATGGCATTGGCGGGTTAGTGGCTTGTCCTAGGGCTTGGCCTGTCCAGACCGTTGATTCCTTCGTGCCTTGATCAGCGGTTCTATTGGCGGGTGGATTTAGTCCTGCTTGGCCTTTGACACTTAAACCGTTCGGCCGTTGGCATATCGAATCCTCCATTCAGTATTGGTGTTCTTTCGACAGCCTTGGAACTACGGGGCCCACAATGATACAACTATCCTGCACGGTTGTTTCGCCTGTCAGTTCACGGTACCTATTGGTTGACGTGCGACGTGGGCCACGAACTGCTTTCTCCTTTTCCCGGCTAAAAAAGAAAAAACTGCGTCCTTCGTTGATTTGAAATACCAAGAGTTGGAACACATCCCTCCCCGACTGCCACCTATGGCTTCCATGTCTGCCGTTATAGCTGTCCTCGCCGTGGGCGTGTTGACACTATTCTACTTGGGCACCAAAAGAATTCAAGATAGTGGGAAGGATGGCAAGAAAGACCATAAACCGGTTCTTAAGCTTCCCCTCATCGGCGATCTTCATAATTCCCCTATCGAGAGGCCGTTGGCGAACTGGGACTCATGGGCCAAACAGAATGGTCCCATTGCCGTACCCAAACTCTTTGGAATCATTCCCATCGTTGTGCTGAATTCCTATGAAGCAGTGACTGAGCTTTTCAGTCGTCGCAGCCAATGGTACAGCAATCGCCCTGCCTCGGTGAGCATGGAGATGATCACCGGCGCCGATCCAGGGCAGTCCCGATTCACTCTGATGCACGACTACGATGACCACCTTAAGCTACATCATCGCATTCTTTCTCCCAGCCTCGGCGCCCCTGCTGCTTCAAAGTATCAGCCTTTAATGGAGTTGGAGGCCAAACAGCTGCTCTTTGATCTGTCCAACGCCATCCGGAAGACCCCGGTAATCAGCACCGATATCATCTATCCTCTACTGGAGCGCACCCAGTCTAGTGTTATCCTGGCACTGCATTATGGCATGCGCATTCCGCACTTCGAAGAGCCGATCTTGCACGAGGTCATTGACGCCCAAACACAGGTGACCCATCTCGCCGCCAACCCGGGCCTGCCCGATATCATCCCACCATTGCGCCATCTCCCGGCCTTCCTGTCCCCATGGAAGCGAGCTGCCGACAAGCTTTTCGCTGCCCAAGTCGACCTCTACATGCGTCTGTTCCGCCACGGCAGAGACTCGGCTGGCTGGAACGCCACGAAGCAGGCCATCTCGACTGCCGAGAAACACGCCCCCGCCGGCTCGCCGGTCCAGGATCTTGATCTGGCCTTCACTCTCGCAACTTCCATTCAAGGTGGAATGGAGACCTCCCCTCGCCAGCTGCTGTGGCTGTTCGTCGCCGGGCTGCATCAACCGTCCTTCATGGCCCGGGCTCATGCGGTCCTCGATGAAGTCGTCGGCCGGGACCGCCTCCCTCGCTTCTCCGATCGCTCTCAACTTACATACATCGATGCCGTAACCCACGAGCTGTTCCGCTGGCGACCTATCTCCCCGGGATCGATTCCTCGACGTGCCGAACAGGCTGACGAATTCAAGGGAGTCAAGATCGGCAAGGGCGTTACCGTCATGGCCAACGCATGGGCCATCAGTCGCGACGAAAAGGTCTTTGACCCGGCGCTCGGTGATCTCCAGGACTTCACGCCCGAGCGGTGGCTGCGACAGGACAGTGCTGGCGCAGAGGCCAAACTACGAACCGATCTCCCGCTGCCAGTCTTCGGACAGGGCCGACGAATCTGCCAGGGCAAGAGGGTCGCTACGGACGGAACCTTCATGCAGGTTGCTAACCTGCTGTGGGCGTTTGATGTCGAACTGGTTGACGGAGAAGCGGTCGATCCATGGGAAATGGTCGTGGTGGGTTTCATGACTATGCCCAAGGAGCTGAAATTCAAGCTGAAGCCACGAGGCGACTGGGTGTTGGATGTTATCCAGAGAGAATGGGACTCGGCCGAGAAGAGCTTGGATAAGGTGATGGGCACGACTCAGGATGTTGAGTAGATGCGTGCAGTTGGTTCCTGATGTTTTAGCTGCATCGCTCCAATGTGACTGTATATAGATATACGCTAATGGATAATAGTTCTGTGTTGTGATTGAATGTGTTGTGATTGAATGTGTGGTGATTTTAGCGTGCTGGGGTTATGAATGAAACCAATCGCTATGCCTTATTTTCACCAACTAGTACCATAGTAATTTCGTGCGGCAGAGGATGAGCAGATAGTTGTGCATAGGAACATTGTTAGCAGCTTTAATATGTCCTTCTCCATTGCCATTGTCTCTCGAGACAGGAAACGAGATATCGGCATCCGGGAGCCTTGGGTGTTGTGTTGGCGAGTGGTGGAGTTTTGGATGACATTTTTGGCTGCACATTTATGCTTGTCAATTTTTACACATGATATAATAGTCTACCGAGTATCTAGGTTGCACAAGAGGCACAAACGATCTTCTTGGCTCCAACCTGTCATGTCCCTTGGCTCATTGCGAATCAAAGTGGCTGGATATACTTTGATTATTACCAAACTATTCCTTCGGCCTTTCTTTCATCCCTCAGATCTCTGAAATTTCCTTTTATCATAGAAAACACCGGAACTCTTCTGCTTACTGAAAGCACCATGGAATGCGATACTGGATATTTATAAAGTCCTTCTGCATTGGTTATATCACAGTCTCTCACCCAGAGCGCTTCATCTCTTCTTTCACAACAACTCATACAACTTCAGCCGGACTTTTGCCAAAATGTCTAGAACCCAGACTGAAGACGACATGCACTCTAGATCGGGTATCTACCGATATCTAAACGATACTCGAGTCCAAGAAGCGGTGCTAACGGCTCGTAGCCAACTGAATGAGATGTTCATCGAGGCTGTCAATTCAGCGGTAGCCGTTTCTCACGTGAATATGACTCACATACTGGAGCAACATACCAAGTTCTATCCGGTACTGCAAAAGCTGTTCTTCGACTCAGCTATTAGAGCTACGCTGGTATCCATCGGTGTATCATCGGACGTCAGGGATGAATTCCTGATTCCAGAACACGGGGTAACTCTATTTGGCTTGAGCAAAGATCTGTCGCTATGGGAGAGAAAGCAATTGCTCTGTCTTGATGCTGACAGTGGTTATCATCTGAATTATCACAAATGGGGTGTCATGATCAAGCTTCTCAATAGAGCTATAGAGATCAAGCGAGATAATTCCGCGCCGAGGCTCGAGCGCTGTCCTGGGCTTGGATCCTGATCTTGTTATGAAGGTTTTCGACGATCCCAACGTGATGGAATTGAATGAAATCAGGGCCATGAAGACCATCAAGGACTTTGTTCCGGGATTTCCAGTCCCAGAAATACATGGCTGTTTTCACAAGCCAAGCAGCAATCGCCTTTTTGTTCTCATGTCTCGGGTTTCCGGCCGACCTTTGGACTCTGTATGGGAATCCCTGAACGAGACACAGAAAGCTTCAATTCACAACCAGTTGACCTCTATCCTGCATGATGTCAGATTAGTTCCCCACCCGGAGCACGATAATCATCATGCAGTCCTTTGCAGAGGCGACCCTTGTCGCTGCGACAATGCGAGAGGAAATATGCATTATCTTCTTCCTTTCCTCGCGGCGGCTCCTCTGCATCATGATCGTATCAGGACCTATCTGCTGATGAAATTTGCTATGACAGAGACTAATGGCAACCTTGATCCTCGAAAAGTTATGGTGATCTGTCAGGCCCTCAGGTGTCAATTACAGCCATCGTGGGCTGGCACATGTACGAATGGTTGGCCGCATACTGGGACCACGTAGAAACCTTCGTGGATCGTTTCCCCGAGGCCGACTGCAGTGACTGCCGACTGTACCTCCTGCGAGGTATCGATAATCCTGAAGAGGAGAGAATGCTGACCTAGGAAGCTGAGGGCCTCGCTGACCGAGGCACAATGGATTAAGTGAATAGATCGTTTTCTGAATAATATGGTGATCTCAAATATTCTAAACAAATATCAGTAAACATGATTGAGTGTAGAAAATCACAAACCACGAGAATAATAGAGTAGAGTAAGTCTGATTTGTAAAAGTTCACAGACCTTCTTTAGCCGCGCTGCAACCCGGTTGTCGTCTGCCAGCGATCTTCCGACTTTCCCCACGACCGCCTCTTGATTCCGTATTCGCAAGCACAGGAATAGAAACGCAACACCAGAGAGGATGGAATTTCCTGAGCTTCACATTCAACCTGCCCAGAGTTCTCACACCCATACGGCAATATTGCTGCATGGTCGCGGCAGCAATGGCCCGGAATTCGCCGAAGAGCTTTTCTCATCTACCACCTCCAGAAACAAGACCCTGGCCGAATCTCTCCCAAGTTGGCGCTGGGTATTTCCAACTTCTCGCGAACGATGGGATTCCAGATTCCAGGAGGACTTGTGTGCTTGGTTCGAAGCCTACTCGTTGACGGACATCCAGGAACGACAGGAGTTGCAAGTCGACGGCTTGAGAGAGTCGGTCGCATATATCCTGGATCTCCTGAAAAGTGAGATTCACTTACTCGATGGCAAGACGAGCCACGTCTATCTCGGAGGCATGAGCCAGGGGATGGCGACCGCCTTGTGGACATTATTCTGTGCGACAGGACGCGTTCGAGGGCAGCTGGGAGGGTTCCTGGGCTTCTGCGGCTGGCTGCCTTTTGCTCACCAGTTGGAAGACCTGCTTGGACATCCAAACGAGGCCGAGCCACCGAGTCATCATCATAAGGGGTCTCAGGTTCAGTCGCTCGTGTCTCGTTTGTTCCCCGACAGCATCGGCAAACCCGAAGTGTCACAGGGAAACGAGTCCGGTGACACCTTCTTGCTCTCACCTCCCGTGTTTCTGAGTCACGGCACGGACGACGCGTGGGTGTCTGTGCAACTGGGTCGGCAGGCAGCTCGCATCTTACGGCAGATCTCGGTTGATGTGGAATGGTATGAGTTTGAGAGCGCCGAGGGCGATGGCCATTGGGTTAAGGAACCGGAGGGATTCGACCAGATGGTGGGATTTCTGGCGAGAACCATGCAGGAGCAGTCAGGGAGGGGTGATTATTGAATAACAAACGGAAGAGTAGCCAATGATTTAGAAGACAGTTGAAGAAATCGGAGTGTCTCTCGTTGATTGTAGGAGTGTGTACATACTCCGTACAGACTGTCTGCCTGCTGCCTGAGGTGTCGACCCGCATGAACTCCGCCCAAAAAAAGCAGCGGCGATTCTTCGCATCTCAACGAACTTCTTCACCGCACATCCTTCTTCTCCTTCCCATGCTCGACCACGTCTGTCTCTCCGACACGTCCCACTCGCTCGTCTTCCTCCCTTGCGCCGTCGACTGACTTCCCGTGATCCGCCATCTCGAGCTCATCCTCTCGTCCTCGCCGTCGTCCTGACCCTTACCATGTGCATACAATGAGTTTCTTTTCCCAATTCGGTGATCTGCCCACCATTCAGACCCGAAAGGCCCTTCTTCTGCTTGATTTTGAAAATGATTTCGTGCGAGAGTCCGGTGCTCTTTACGTTCCCAACACCTCCGACTTCCTCGAGAACCTGCCCCAGCTGGTCAGTGCCTTCCGTCGCAATGGCGTGATCGTTTGGGTGCGTTCCCACTACGAGTTGCGCCGACCGCTGGTCGGGATGGATTTGCAGAATCTGGTGGTGCTAGGTCGCGCGGAGGATGCGTCGAGGAAGGGATCGGTCTCCAGCGAGTCGTTGGACAATGAAAGCCTGGAACCGAAGGGTCCCGTCGACGAAGAAGCCTTTCTCTCCACCGAAACCCCTCAGTGCTGTCTCCCGCAGTCGGCGGGGGCACAGTTCCCGGCTCCCATTCTCGCCGCCATCGATTCCGACGACACGCTGATCGAGAAGTCCGACTACTCCGCCTTGCAGGACCAGGGCCTCATCCTGTCCCTGCGCACGCGCTTCGTCACCGAGTTGTACCTGTGCGGTTCCTTGTCCAACATCTCCGTCTATGCCACCGCCCTCGACGCCGTGCGACACGGCTTCTCCGTCACCCTGATCGAGGACTGCCTGGGGTTCCGGAACTTCCCCCGCCATGAGGAAGCGATGCGACGGATGGCGGATATTTTTGGAGCCAATGGCATTACTACGCAGGAACTTATTGAGGAACTGGATTGGCAGGAGACCGATGCGATCGCTCGCAAAGGTGAGCCCCGACCGGCACGGTCGGCAACTCCGTCCGGGATCGAGGGGGTCATGGACAGCCTCGACTTTCGTCGGACTCGTAAATTAGGCCCTCCGGAAGAGTCCCCGAGGCCGTCGGGCAAGAACAATTCGCGTCGTAACTTGGAGGATATTTTGGCGGAGTACTCAGACGACGAAGATGGAGATTTGCTGGAGCTGGTTAAACTGACGCGTGACAGTTCTCGCTACGCGCGAGCCGGATCGCAAGCAAGCCCGCCACAATCGACAGACAAGAGTTCGCGCCCGCGTGTGCGCCGTTCGAGACGTTCAGACCCGAAGACCGAGGCCGGTCCGCGCCCGGAGGCTCGACGAAGCGGCAAGCAATCGAAGCGGTCGCCCGGTTTCCTCAAACAGGGCGATCGGATCGGCGAGGGCGATTCTCGCATTATTTACGATCTCGATCTCGCCACTGATGCTTTCGAACAGATCCGCAATGAGGTCGCCTGGCAAAAGATGTATCACATGTCTGGACAGGTCCCGCGTCTTGTCGCTGTGCAAGGCCGTCCTCTAGACGATGGATCGATACCCATATATCGCCATCCTGCGGATGAATCGCCTCCGTTGCAGCCTTTCACACCCGCCGTGGATCGCATACGTGCCAATGTAGAACGGATACTAGGGCATCCCCTGAATCATGTTCTCATCCAGCTATACCGAGATGGACAAGATCGCATTTCCGAGCATTCGGACAAGACGCTGGATATTGTCCGCGGATCGTCTATTTGCAATGTCAGTCTCGGCGCTCAGCGGGTCATGGTTCTCCGGAACAAGTCTCAAACCAATGAAGCAGACTCAAGCCGGCTTTCCCAACGCGTACCAATGCCGCATGAATCACTATTCATACTTGGTGAACAGACCAATATGCGATGGCTCCATGGCATCCGACCCGATAAGCGTCCAGACACGGAGAGATCGATGGAAGAGCGCGCATACGGCGGAAAGCGCATTTCACTGACCTTCCGGCACATCGGCACCTTTTTGAACCCATCGGGCGACACCATTTGGGGCCAGGGTGCTATCTCGAAGGATCAGGAGCAGGCCAATCCCGTCATTCACGGTGATTCTGCCGAGACGGAACGGCTGATCCGCGCTTTTGGAGCTGAGAATCAGACCATCGAGTTCGACTGGCACGCCGTTTACGGCGGAGGGTTCGACGTCGTCAATTTTGTCACTACCTCAACGGTCAAGCTCGTTCTGGGCACGGACCTGGTGGCTAATCTCCGCGTTCTGATCTATCTCGGTGAACACGGCATTCGCTATGATATAGATGACGCGCAGGTGGGAAAGCAGAGAAACAAGGAGGTCTCCGAACAACCATTATACATCGGCGCCGATGGCATCGGAATCGCCGGCGATGTCCAGATCATGACCGAGCTCTCACAGCGTGTTTCCGAGCTGACCCGTCCCGGAGTCGAGATACTGCGCGGCGGCAGCCATCTGGCCGCGATCGACCAACTCCTCGCAAACTGGCGTGCGTACCGAGCCCAAGACCAACCCGACGTGCTCAAAGCGCTGGATATATGGGAAGATGTCCTAGACGCACAGGCCTATCTCAGTGGCGCCACATTAGGAATCGACGATTGCGCTTTCTGGCCTGTTCTGAGGGAGGTCATGCATGACAGTGAGCCGCTGTCCAATAAAGTCCACCCCAACTTGGCCCTCTATTATAACAAACTAGAGAAACGGGGCGTTGTCCGAAAGACACTAGACGAATTGAAATTGAAATGATCATTCTTGAATGTTTGAAACTGACTATGCTTGCTCGTTTATACCCACATACTTTTCTTGTCTCAGCGCACGTGATGGTGATTGCATTCATTGGATTTTTTTTTATATATTGACCTTAAGCATTGGATTATTTGATTTTATTTTTGCTCGCCTTACTGTGGGTTGATATCCTTTTCGGGGCGGATTTCTGTCTTTCCTTCTCTCTTTTTCTACTCAATATACATAATTCTGATGACTTAGATAGGATAGTCCTTGACTATTGTCCATATTAATGGAGTCTTCTTATTTGAATATGTTCAATTAACTACATTAGCTCAATCAATAAACACCCGACCCTACAAACACTCGCCCTCGAAATCCTCCGACGACAAGACATCCTTCAGCGCAACATCACTGCACACCACTGCCTTCAAAAACGCCTCCGCCACAACGGCTGCTCCCTCGGGGTTCGTGTGCGTATGATCATTGGGATAGTACCCATTCACGGTGTCCGATCCCAAGCTCTCATAACGAGCCGCCACATAGGCTCCATGGTCCACGTATTCCACGCCCGCGTTCTCGGCTGCCAGTTTCGCGTACCCGACAAACCGCGACGCCGAGTAGGAATACTCGCCCGTCTCCCAGACATTGTTCGGCGTTTGGCTCGACACGAGCACCTTGGCGCCCTTGTCGGTGAACGTCTTCGCCGCGTTCTGGATGTACGCCGGGAACGTGAGCACCGTCTCTTGCTTTCCGTCGTATGTCGTCTCGCACGTCTCTGTGCCCTCGCCCGGGCAGTCCGTCCGTCCGTTATCGGTCGACAGCGACCCGCCGTCGTTGTGTCCGAATTCGATCACCACGTAGTCGCCGGATTGGACTACTGAGGCGATATCGTCGAATCGGCCTTCGCGGGTGTATGAGCGTGCGCTGCGTCCGCCGATGGCTTTGTTGGTCACCGTGCCGGAGACGGAGTCGGTGATGTAGTCGCCCCAGCCTGGGTATGTTAGTCTGGTTTGAAGGGAGGCAGAAGATTTTGCGATGGGGAAGATAGAGGAGGGAGGATCGGAAGTGGGAGAGGGGAGATAGACATACCATCAATGGTGCCGCCGTTGGTCGACGCCATGGTAGAGTCTCCGGCCAGGTAGACCGTGGCGGCGAGAGCGCCGGGGAGGAGAGAAAGAGGGAGGATGAACGACCGCATCGTGGTATCAGATTATGTGTATTGCGGCTAGGTGGATAGCTTGAATGGTTTGAGAAAGTCGCAATTGATGTATAGAAAGATCGTCAGAACATGCTTTTTCACGCTCATATTTATACCCTTCCCTGGTCCCCTGCCTTCTGCACCCCAAGGTCAAATTACTTGGCAGGTACGTAGGAGATGCATCTACTCCCCCACAGGAGAACTGTAAGACGAAAAATAAATTAAAGCTCCAGAGACCTGAGCACGAACACGGAGTACACACATACAAGCTAGGCTAAGCTTGGGTAGAACGCTGCAGTAAACAACATCCTCTGCCAGTCAGCATACGTGGGATAATTCCCCGTCTCGGGCGATCGAGCACCGAGTGCGTCGAAACAAGCTGGCGCAGGGCCTCTTGGGATCTCGGACAAGCGGAGTTTCAGGCTTCAGCCACTTTGTCACAGCAGCTTCTCCGGACGGAAGAGACCCGCCATGGTGACACCGGCATTGACATTGACGTTGACACTGACAAGCGCCGCTAAAAATGGAATTGGAGACAACAATTAACCTAGTCAAGTAATCTGGGTGAATACTCCGTCAGGAAAGAAGAAAATCTCCGACGGATCTGGGACGGAGAAAAGGAAGCCAGTGGACGATCGAAGCCTTCAATGGGAAATGTTCAGGACTATCAATTTCGGTCAATGTGACTGCGACGTGATGGGCTTTTTCCTTCCCCGCATGGCGTATGCCGAATGGCTGGTTTTCTGTCTTGGGTTTTTCCACCTCTTGGGGCCGCCATGGCGGAGGGATTCCTATCCTGGCTCCGGGGAAAGGGAGGCGGAAATAGCTCGGGTTTGATGTTGACGATGTTGGTCAGGATGATGGGGATGATGTGAAGATGATGGGACTGAGCAGGGCTGTCCACTATTGCCAGTCACATGGCCATCCACGGCACGGCGCCTGATTCAGGCACCCACAGGAAACCCCATCCCATCGGATCTGCCGTTTTCTACTTCTTACTCACCTGGACCCAACATCACCTCCATCGATCTACGTCCTGACCTACCTGTACCTATTCCAACCTCAACCCGTCTCTAATCCACCACGGGACACGAGTCATGGCCAACCATGCCAAGTACCACCGCTGAAACACCCTTGTCCACGTCCAGACCGTCGCAACAATGCCTTGACCAGATCCCTATTCCACCGCCTGGAAATGATAATAAGTTTTAAAACGACTGTAAATAAAATAAATCTATTGGACTCACTGCTAAAGAAACATTTTGAATCCACCTTCTTCAACTTCAATGGCGAGGGCATCCCGCTGCCTCATACATACCTTAGGTATCAATAACACGCCATGTTTCCTACGCTCATGCGGATGGGACGAAATTCCTCAGGCTACAAATTTGCAGGTTGAGTTACAGTTATTTACTAACGTGGTATGTCGTGTCATACACGTCATATGAAGATAACTAGTTAGCAGGGATTGGCATTAGCCAGATACCTAGTTCCCCCTCATTAGTTACAATCCTTGTCTCTCTCACCTCGATCCGCATCTCTTCTTCAAGTTTTCGATCTAGCAAGGTGCCGACGCCATGCTAGGCCCCGCAGCAGACACGGTTCTATCAATTCCAGAGCTGTTGGAGGCAATTTTGCTCCACCTTGACATGTCCACCGTCCTGTTGTCGGCTCAGCGCGTAAACAAGCATTGGTTGGCAACTATCAGTGATTCTATTCGGCCCCAGCAGCTCCTTTATTTCAAGCCGATCCCATCCTCTAGACTACCTGCATGGGCCTACTCAACTCCCGAAAATCCCTGGTATCCCAGTACTACGAAATAAGAGACGTTATGGCTTTTCTAAATCCTTTGCTTTTCAAACATTTTTGGAAGCGTTTTCCTCGATTTAAGTCGTTGGGATTCTTTTCGCCGCGCTTATGCTTTTACAACCGATATGACCTGGTGGTCGGATGATCATAGTATTGCTGATTGGAGTGAAATGCCTGAAGATGTGGACTTGTCAATCGAGTCTCTACACCGTCAAAAAGCCTTTACTCGTGCCGGTGCCAGCTGGCGCCGAATGCTGGTGTCTCAGCCCCCTCCCCTAGCGCAAGGTCATACCTGGCATGACTACCCAGACAGAGATATCACCTTTTCGAAGGGCATTATCACCGAGACTCCAAGCCCTTCAACGTTGCTTCCAATCTCTCAGAGTGGTCTTCGCATGGGTTTACTTTATGACCTGATTCAGTACCACGCTGGACATCATGAGCAAAGCTCGCTCTATTTTCGGATTCTGTGGGGTCATCAGTGGCGTGAATATAGTGTTAACAAGCCACATGTCCGTACATCCAACGAGCTACTCAAAGAGATAGGGGTCGTTATTCAGTTTGTCCATAAATGTGATAGTAGATCCAGGGAGCCTGTGGATGTGAGAGCCTGGAACTCTGCGTTTAAGAGCGAGGATTTCCAACTCCCAGAACACGAGACTGTGGAGGCTTGGAGGGGAAGTTGGGACGATCCTGATGATTGACAAAGTTTATCTTGATATAGTAACTTGGTGCACTCATTCATGCCAGGTATTAGCAATTCAAATCAACTATATCTTTCTTCTCTTTGTATCTCTATTACCGTCGTATCATTCCCCCTCCGCGCTTGCAGATCTTTTCTAACCTTTTGCTAGAATTTACATAAGTGTAATATTTTAATTCTCCGGAATCCATTTCAAGAATCTTTTAGAATATGTAGAAAATTCACCTAGCTTGTGCAGACTCCAGCCATCGTAATCTTTCGGCTAGAAAATCCCGACCTTTTAAAGCTCAATCTAGATTAATAATGCCATGAATTACATGATAGATATAACAAGACTTGACGTTTATGCACGATGCGATATATTCAAGGACACGTCAAGGAGCTTGGGTGGAGATCAGAGCACGAGAAGTAAATAATCCGGCCAGACAGGACCCCGAAACAAACATCCAACCTAGGTATCAGTATGAAATATTCACTTCCGAAGAGTCAAAGGGATTAAAAGATTGGCTAGAAGAAAGTGATGTATCTGATAATTTAGGTAAACACGACATATTGGTCTCGAATGTTCGATAAAATGGAAGAGGTGGATGTCAAAATTAGAATTCAAAAACGTCCCATAGGTAGGAAATAGACGGTTCCAATGATTAAATCTTGTGGTCTACAAGCTATGCATATTAAGGAAAGAAAAAAGGAATTATACCAGTGAGCAGAGCGACACAAATAAAATCTAGATATAACGTTGTTAGACTATTGCAGAATACAAAAAGCAAAGAAATAAAACCAGAATGAAGTACACTGACGAGCAAGCAGTTGATAACAAAACAGAAAAGCAGCAAGCGAAAAGAAATCAAGCCAAATTAACAAAAGCAATCAAACAACGCATTTGCACAAATAGTAAATCATGGGGAAAGGACCCTGGGCCAAGGAGGCTCAACGCAGAATAATGAGAGACAAGAAGCCTTAAGGGCAGCGGATCGCGGGTAGGATACACTTTCTTCTCTGATATTCTTAAGCTTCGAGGGATCAAATTTATGTCCTCGGTTCTAGTTTGAGCTTGCTAAGTTCTATTCTGTGTTTTTCTATGATATATTCTTTTATTTGTAGGTAAATGGAGAGAGGTAGTATAAGCAGATGTACATCGAATCAAACACATTTGACCCATTCATAGTTTCTCAAACGTAGGCTTCCTCTTCTGAATCCCCGAAAGCAACGCATCAGACACATCCTTCGTCTGCAATGCGGCACTGTTCCAGACAGTCGTATACCGAAGGCCTATATTCATCAATTAGCCACTATCCGAAATGAAACGGGCACGAGGAAAGTCTTACCATCCTGAACCGAATGATCCCTCGACCAATTCAAAATCTCCTTCGTCCCCTGCACGGCGATGGGACTCTTCTCCGCCATCAATCGTGCCAGTGCTAATCCCGCCTCGACCGTCTTCTGTTTATTCTCATAGACAGAATTCACGAAACCGACCTTCTGCGCCTCCTCCGCCCCAAACACTCTTGCCGTCAACGCCACCTCCTTCACCCAGCCGTTATTCCCCACCACCTTGGGCAACCGACTCAACGTCCCAATATCAGCCGCGATTCCGATATCCACTTCCTTCACGGCGAACTTCGTGTTGCGCGCACAGATACGCACGTCTGTCGCTGTGCTGAGATCGATGGCTAGCCCCAGCGCGAAGCCATGCATGGCGCTGATCACGGGCTTTTCGCATCGTTCGACGGCGGTGATACAGTCTTGGAAGGAGCTGATGTGGCGACGCATGTGTGCCGCTTTTCGTGCAGAATCGGCTTCGTTGCTTGAGTCTGAGGAGAGCAGCCCTTGCGAGGCGGCGTGTACGTCAAGTCCGGCTGTGAAGGCTTTCTCGCCGGCGCCAGTGAGGAGGACGGCGCGAACGGAGGGGTCGTGGGAGAGTTGGTTGAAGAGCTGGGCTAGTTCGAGCCACATGCTGTGTTTTTGGTTAGTTGGTTTGAGATCCTGGATCCCTTGGGGCAAGGGGGTCAGAAAGATGGGTTGATGCGTACGCTTCGAAAAAAGCATTCAGCTTGTCGGGGCGGTTGATTTCCACATGCGCGACGTAGGCATGATCGGCGGGGAAGTGGACTTGGAAGTACTTGTAGGAGTAGTTGTCTGCCATGGTGGTTTGTTTTGTGTGAGAGTGTAGGTGGATGTAGGTAAGTGAAAGAAGATGAAGTTGGGGTTAAGTTGTCTCTTTAATTATCCAACGGCCGACGGACCTCGGCAATTGATAAGATTGAGTTTATCAGTCCTGCTGTGTCTGGAAGGTGGAGCGGGCGCGGCTGTGGGGTCTGGGGTCTGGATACAGGATTGAAGAGCTGAACGGGTTGATATTGATTTGCAGTTCCAGTTTATAGATCTCGAGGGTGTACAGTGCTAGAAAACTAATGCGCAAAGCAAGGATCCTTAGTTGTTGCGAAGTAACGTGGTCATTCACGTGCCTCGGCTCGGTTGTACATACGTACAGGATTAAAGATTAGTTATACCATATAAGATTGATTCTGATATCTCAAATCTATCCCTCCGGGCTGGGTTACACATCAGTATCGTTGAAGCCTTGATGGTCAACTATATATGCCCAATGAACGAACTATGCTCAAATCAGACGTACTGTGATACATAAATAGCAATGACGTCACCCTTGTACCTCAAGCGAGGAGCTTCATTTTGAATTGGAGCTCGGTCTAGCTACTCAAATTCTGGTTAATCTGAATTTCTACAGAATGGAATAGAAAGATATCAAAAGGAATGTAGCAATTGTTCGATTAATTAGATAAATTATACAAAGGAATGTAATCTCAGTTTCAAACACAACTCAGCCAGCTTAGTCAACTCAACAATCAAAACAATTCATAAAAAAAAAAAAACAGCAAAGGATCGTATTCTCATTCTCATAATTGTCAACTGACGATCAACTAGTCAAGTCATTTACTCGACCGTGATCTTCTTCGAAGACGGGGGCGTAGCCTTGGGAACAACCACAGACAGAATGCCGTTCTTCAGGCTGGCCTTGACCTTCTCCTGGTCGACATGGCTGGGGAAGGAGAAGGTGCGGTGGAATTCGCCAACAGAGCGCTCGCTGACCCAGAAGCGGGGCTTGCCCTCGGACTTGGAGACCTGTTTCTCGCCGGTCTGGGTGACTTCGGTGCTTTCACCCTGGGCGGGCTCGTTGTCACCCTCGCCGGCTTCGGGGGTGTGGTATTCGCGCTCAGAGCGGCCCTTGATCACGAGGGTCTGCGGGTCGGAGAATTCAATGTCGACGTCCTTCTGGGCGATACCGGGCAGTTCGCCGTCAAGGTGGTAGGCATCGGAGGATTCGCGGACGTCGAAACGAGGCGCGAAGGAGCGCACGGAGGTTTGGCTGCGAGAGGAGCGGTGGACGTCATAGTCGTCTAGGAGACGGAAGAGAGGACCGAAGTCGCTACCGGTAGGGATGGTTCGGAAGAGAGACATTTTGGATGTAGTAGGAAGAAGAAGTTTGTTCAAGTGAGACAGAATGGTTGCGATTGAGTGTTTGATGGAGAGGATTGCTTGTTATCCTGAGACTTGTAGTTGCTTTGTTGATGATGATGAGAACTTGTTGGACGGACCTCGAGGCCCTCTATATACCTGCGCGCCATGATTCCAGAATGTCCCAGCGGATTGAAGATGATGCCAGAGTAAATTGGATATCCAGGATTTCCCTGTTCCTGAAGGTGCTCGAATAATCAGGCAATGGACGCTGACAGGTTGGGGGAACCGTCCGGGGAAGACGGGAAAGTTCTCGGCCCTTCGACGCGATCAATGGAGACGCGGATGACTCAGCCGCCGTTGCTGTCACATGCAGCTAACTAGTGTCATGTGATTTACTAGCGCGGCGGATGACCCCTACTGAAGTGGTTAAGCTCAGAGGAATGGTGGAGTTCGATTCGAGCTGTACGAGGCCTAAGCCATAAGGAGAATGCAAATGAATGAAGTAATACTCTATCTAAAACGTAGCCTAGAGTACAGAGATACTTGAGTGCTTGGGTGTTTGAAGAGGATTGTAGCCTCTGCAAAATATGAGCCTCGGACGGATTAACGTTGTTCCCGGCCTCCGAGCTAATTATATCTCATCACCCACGAAGGTGCCATCCGACCTGTAACCTGCTAGTGTATTGGCATCGTTGATCCCGGGCAAACCAGGCAAACATCCAGTGATTTACAGGTTTAACTTGGATACAATTGTGGATGCGATGGCAGCAAAAGTACGCATGGGTATTTGCGAGAGGCTTTTACCGGCTCTGTTTGGATATTCTTCATATGTGGAGATCCAATGGTATACGAAGACGGGTCCGAATATGGATACTATCTCGTTGCCGCGTTAAAATATGTAATGACTCCATTTATAGCCGTCTAGTTACCAGGAAAAAGCTACGCCTCACGGAAGATACTTCATAATTAATTCCATTTCTACCGCTTTGGCTAGAGTTACGATTTCTCAAAAATCTCGCGCCTAGTATCAAGGGTATTCAATTGGCCGAGGGCTGCAAGTCCCCACACCTAGTCACCGGTGTCGCAAACGTAGTGATGGGCTCGATAGTACTGAAGTACGTATTTTAGGCCACCGCGAAGAGTCTGGCGCAATCAAGGAGCGACAGATCATCGTATCAGGTGGATTCCAAGCAAATGATCCCCGTTCTGACGTCCGTCCAAGTTGTGACCCGGTTGTCCATCTATCTTCCCTTAGTTGATTTATTGAGGCATCAAAGTCCAGAGTGTTCTTCGTCAGGTCAAATTTGGCGCAATGGTACGATGGTATGGTGTCTTCCAATTCCGAATGGGCGCGATTTTGCATAATTCCGATTTGGTGTTTGCAGCCCAATCACACAGGTCGGGTGCCGGATTCTACCTAGTCGTTGATAGATTTCGTCATTTCCAAACCCACCGAATGACCCAATCTCGATATGTCGGGTGGGAGAAGCGGAGAATTGCACGGAAGGTAAGGGGAAGCGTGAAGGAGGAGCGTATCTGACGCGCACGCCTTGCGACCGACAAATTATTCAGATTCCGATTCATCATCAGCCTGCATGACCTTATCATCGAGCTCCTATTGCCCAGAGAGTTAGCACACTCAAACCGAAGAAGGCGAACACAAAGGAGTGTGTGTCCATGGCGTCGCGCTGTGCTGTTCTGTGTTACCTTTCCAAGCCGATACTTTAGATTCTCAAGCTGGCTTTCCTTGATAACTAGGTGTCTGTCATCATCTAAGTCTTCGACAATGTAGTCGTGTCTTTCTTCGTCGTATTTTAGGATGATCGCCTTGACGGAGGGGTCGCATTCGATGAGAACTCCTGTGGTTTATTGGATCCGTTGTTAGTCGATTGGGGGTGGGTGAACGTTGGGGTGTAGCGTACCTCTGACTGCACGCGGCATAATGAATCCCTGGAGATACGGGCGTGTAGTGGCAGAAAGACGATACGTGTAAGGAGACGATTAGAGAAGGTTGGTGTGGATAGCGATGGAATTGCTGATATTCAGCTGGATGTTGAAAGGTGCGGAGATGAAGTTGATTCGCGACGGATGCCAAGGCCAGCAAGGCAGTGAGGCATTAAGGCAGAAACTTTATTGGCCTGGCTAGAGCAAGGGTGTTTAGATACAAAAAAGCCGAAAAACAAAACAAAAAAACAAAAAAATAAAATGGAGATTTCCGTTGGTACTGCTTCATAATGCTTAGAATCTAAGTTAACCTTGCAATGACAATACTACAGGGCTATATACGAATAAGAGCCGTGACAATCTCCAATCATCGGTCTAGTCTTCTCGATCTACACTCTCCAGATCTTCCCTCCTCTTCTCTTTATCATGGAAAGGTGTCCACCCTGTCCCAGCCTGAGCAGCCATTGCCACGAGCGTGACCACAACGCTTCCCAGAAGCAAAGCCTTCACAGACTGCTCGTAACTCTGGACAGCAACCGCGCGCTCCACACCAGTCAAGCTGCCCACCAACGCAGGGCTCCCGAGAAGCTTTCGGATGAGCTCATCGTTCCTCTCCAACCCATGGTCGGAAAAGCCGTTTTCCAAGCCTCGTTTCAGTTCCCGTTGGAAGAAGCCTCCACCGATTGCCGATCCGAAACTTCCCGCAAATCCTCTCGACATGCCGAGTAGCGCGGTTACGATATAATGCACGTCCGGGCGGGTGAGGTGGAGGAGATGCGATAGACTGTAATTCATCATCGCGCCGATGGAGAGACCGTTGAGGAAAGTGAAGAATATATAAGCAGCAGTAGGTGAATCGGGCGTGGAAAGCGCAGCCAAGGCGAGCTCTGACAGTCCGAAAAAAAGGAACGTGACAAGGCAAGAACTAGCTCAGTCAGTAAGGGAGAGTTTGGCCCGTGAATATAACAGAGTACAAAACTTAAAACTCACATATAGTAACTTCCAGTTTTACGAATATGGATCCATCCAACTAGGACGCCACCCAGTCCGAAACCTGCGTTCGTTGGTACCAGGATCAACCCGGCCGACGCCGGAGACCAGTTACGGACCACCAATGCGTACGTGGGTGAGAAGAAGAGAACAGACCAACGCGCCATCATTGATAGAAGGCCTGCTAAACATGTCAACAGAACACTTCTCATCTTGAGCAATTCAACCGGTATGATTGGCTCTGAGGCGAAATTGGCCTCTATCAGTAAGAACCCGCCAAAGACGATGGGAAACAGAATAATGGGTGTGATAGCAATTTCAGGTGACGCAAGGCTATACAGTAGCAGGAAGACGGATGATGCCTGTAATTCGTTAGTTTAAATCAGCCATTTCCGGGGGTTGGGCATACCAAAGCTAAGGCCCCAAGATAGTCCACCTTGGCTAATTTTTGTAGCAACGTACGGTCCCGAGACTGTGAACTGTCATCGCCAAGGCCATTCGGAATAGCGAAAAACTGGATCGGGCCTAGGATCAAAGCCAGAGGGGCTTGGATCCAGAATATCACACGCTGACCTGTCAGTCACGCCGACGACGATGGATAACGGTTTACTTCACTTACCCATCCATATGTCGGCGTCAGTATACCTGCAAGTACTGCACCAGTCGCGATACCTGTTGTCATTCCAACATTGATTAACCCATTGAAGAGACCTCTTCGTTTTTTGCTTGCCAGGTCCAGGGTCAATATGATCGCCGTAATCATAAGACCACCCCCTCCACATCCAGACACTGCGCGACCGAGAAGAAAGATCGTAAGGGTTTGCGCAACTGCGGTGATGAAGAGGCCAATAGCCAGAAGCACACAGGAGAAGAGAATGTATAACTGGGGCCTGAAGATCTGAGAGAGTCGACCCGCAACGGGAGTGACACTTGACACGGCAATCTAGGTCACGCCAGATCTATCAGCGTCCGATCCTCACGCTGAGATATAAGATAGGAAACGATATACCAGATAAGCCGAGTTGAACCAGGTTGTCTCCGAAAACGCATCTAGGTCTGCCGCAATATCCGACTGTGCCGTAGTCATCATCGACATGTTGGTAGCTATGAGGATGTTCAGTATTGAGTCCATCGCCTCGTGTTTAGATTATCATCAAAGCGTACTCTGGATAAACAACAGCAGACCCATTGATAAAACAATAATTGACCCTCTGACGTAGGAGACATGAATGCGACTTTCTTCTATCGCCGGAGACGCACGCGCAATGAGCGGCGTCTCCTCTGAGGGCGATTGTTCTCTAGATTGCTGGTCTTCAGCCATGATAAAAGGGTTGCGTATCCAAGATTTGTCGGATCAAAAGAGTCGGATCTTTTGGATCCATTGGGTAGACAAATGATGATGTGCGAGGAGGGGAATCCGGCGTGCTTGTTGCTCGGAGAAAATGGAAGCGGATGCCGGAATTAAGGGAAATAAACACGACGCATTTATAATCAGCGTTAAGATAAGGTAATCCACGCCAACCAGCCAGATCCACTTGGATCCTGTCGGATAGTATTATTATTGAGCTGTCAGATTATCATTGAGCTCGAAGTCTATTTACATTGATTTGCCACTCCTGCCAATTCATAACCCTTCTATCCTATCAAATAATGTGCGTTAATTATTCCGAAGGTTCCGCTGCGCTTGGATTCTGTCTCTGTAGAGTATGGCCCTGCACGTCACACGATGCACCGTTGGCAGAACACTCAACGCAGAGATCATAACCAGCGTCGTTACACTGCGCGCAGTTGAAACTATAATCGTAAGTAGGTATCTCGATATCACAGCTGTCGCAGCAGGTCTGGAAGTCCAAATTGATCACAGAGGGTTCCAATTCTGTTTCTTCTGCTTCCACATGTGTACCTGAGGCGTCAGCTAGGAGCTTCAGGATCTTTCCTAGCTTGTATTCACGGGAAATAGATAATGGAGTACGTCCGGCACAGGTTGGTGTCTCCATTGCAGTACTGCCGTGCTCGAGAAGGGTCTGTACTATGTTTTCTCGCCCCAAAAGGGTGGCAACAAACAGAGGAGTCCGCTGGTACTGGTCCTGCGTGTCTACGAAGGCACCGTATTTCAACCAGAGCTGTACCGTAGACACGGGCTCCTCATGTACTGCCGATGCTAAGGCCGTTTGGCCATTGAGTCCCTTACCGTCTATATGAGCCCCGTACCCTCTCAGGATCTCAATAGTTGAGATGTGCCCTCTCTCTGCTGCCCAGGTCAATGGAGTGTTTCCCTCATCTGTTGCAGAGTTAGGGTTTGCTCCCCTCTCGAGGAGAAGTCTGACTGTGGCATCGTGGGCAAACATTGTTGCCCACGATAAAGGGGTTCGACCACGGCTCGTTGCGGCGTCCACGTCAGCACCACGATCTAGGAGAAAGCGAATGACCGACTCCTGGCCACTCTGTGCTGCAAAAGACAGTGGAGTTCGCCCGTGTATATCTGTGGGGTCTAAGTCCGCACCGTTCTCTAGAAGAAGCTTGACTACAGACAAAGTCCCACGTTCGGCAGCGTAGAACAGCGGAGTGCGCTGAAAGCCGGCGTTCTTCAGGCTCGGTCGAGCGCCTTTCTCGAGTAGAAGCTTGGCGATTGGTTCGTGACCCCGCTCTACTGTGAAAAAGAGAGGCGTTTGGCCGTCTTCATCTTCCGAGTCCATATTGACGCCTTTTTCTAATAGGAATTTGACAATTTCTATGTGGCCATTTTGCGCGGCCCACGAGAGCGGCGTCCGACCGGTCTCATTGCGAGCATCAGGATCGTAGTTTTGTTCCACTAAGAATTTGTTTATGGATAAGTGACCACACATTGCCGATAAAAATAATGGCGAGTTGGACTTGTTATGGGTTTCGGCGACCTTGTCAGCTCCTTCAACCAGTAACCTCCGAATGGTCTCTTCTCGGCCCCGGATTGCAGCCCATGTCAGTGCCGCGGCTTGAAAGTGATTGACATGGTGTCGATAGAGGAAGCTATTGAAATTTTGATAAAGATGGCGGTTGGTCCGAACGATCGCGTTGATGTCTCGCTCTAGATTCAGCTCCTCCAAGATAGCCTGCAGCAGTTCATTGGGGAGCTTGAGGAGCGCCATCGTAGGAAGCCGAAAGAAAGAGGGTGGAACCTGCTACTCTAGATCAGTGCGATGGCTTGTTGACCGTGAAAGAGATTGACGATGCAGCTGTGTTTTGTAGCCGTCGAAGTGACAGCCAGTGAGTCAGTCAGCCTTGCCAAAAACCGCATTGGGGGCGAGGCATCAAGGCATCAAGATGTGCTTTTGGCCTGAGGCAGAAATCTGACCCATCGGGATGTTCGGAATAGCGTCTTATTCCGGCCTGCCTCAATCTGGGTCAGTCCAATGAATCCACCCACGAGTTTCCCTTTTATGCGGACGTATCTCCATAAATATGGCTTTGCGCCCGGCTCATTATCTTCTCTCAAGCTGCAGGATCAGTTTCAATTCCTCGTTCTTGAAGATAACCCCGATAACTTAACCATCATGTCGATCTCGGTCCTGGACTCACGCATCTTTCGAAACCTCTTCGGCACCGAAGAGATTCGTGACATTTTCACCGACGAAGCATATGTGAAATTCCTCGTCCAGACTGAGGCCGCTTTGGCTCGCGCAGAGTCGAAAGTTGGTGTTATCCCGGCGGATGTTGGAGATGCGATCACGGAGGCGCTGGGAAACGTCAAGCTCGAGTATGTCATGAAATGTGAACGACCGATCGGTTTAATTCCAGAGGCTAACGGAATTAGATAGTTTTGATAGACTTGCGCGAGAAACGGAAATTGTTGGATACCCTGTTCTACCGTTGGTGATGCAATTGGTGGAGAACACTCCCGAGGAGATCGCGAAGTATATCCACTGGGGTGCCACGACTCAGGATATCATGGACGATGCGAGTATTCTTCAAATCAAGAAGGCTGTGCAGTTGGTGAAGCGGGATCTGGACACCTTGATTGGCATCTTGCAGACATTGTCTGAGAAGCATCGCGATACGTAAGTCGCTTCTTTCTCTGGCTCTAGAAGGGTTTCCTAACAATTCTAATCTCACGGTTTCTAGCCCCATGGCCGGTCGTACACACTTGCAACATGCTCTCCCCTGTACCTTTGGATACAAGTGTGCCGTATATCTATCCAGCATCATAAGACATCGAGAACGGCTATCCGAGATCGAGCAAAGGTGCTTCTTGGTGCAATTCGGCGGCGCGGCAGGAACTCTCGCTTCGCTGGGTAGTGACGACACTGGTATTCGCGTGCGCGCACAGTTAGCGAAGGAGCTGGACCTGCAAGATCCGATGATAACGTGGCATGTGGCACGCGATAATATTGCAGAGATTCTGAATTTCCTCGCCCTCATAGGTGGCACACTCGGCAAGATTGCTCTGGATATTATTGTCATGTCGTCGAACGAGCTAGATGAGGTGTCTGAGCCTTTCGTACCTCATCGCGGTGCTTCATCGACCATGCCACAGAAGCGAAACCCAATTTCTAGTGAGGTCATTCTGGCGGCGTCTAAGCTGCTGCGGGCTAATGCGTCCTTGGGACTGGATTCGATGGTCGTCGATTTTGAGCGTGCGTCGGGACCGTGGCATCTGGAGTGGGTTGCCATTCCGGAGTCCTTTACGTACGTGGTAGGAGCTTTGCATCAGACGAACTTCGCTCTGCAAGGGCTATGTGTGAAGGAAGGCTCCATGAAGATGAATCTCCTTTCAACTGGAGGGTTGATTGTTGGCGAGGCTGTCATGATGGGCCTGGCACCATTTGTTGGTCGACAGCGGGCACATTATGTGGTGTATGAGGCATGCAAGTCGGCTATTGAACATGGTAAGATTCTGCTGGATGTTCTGAAGGAAAACGCAGAGGTAACAGTGCACTTGGATGAGCAGAGATTGGCGCAGCTATGTGATCCTTTGAACTATTTGGGCTCGGGTCAATTGATGGTGGATGATGTTCTGAAAAAGGCCACAGGGGTCAAGGGATCTTTAAATTAGAACACGAATCGACAGGCCTAGATAGATAATGAGATGATTTTATTGTTCACTTTGAATCTCTGTTCTATACTCGTTCTAGATTGTACCGCGCATGACTAAATGAGGAGACAATGAGCGAAAGACATCTGGGCGATGAGTAGTTTACATTATAGACTCCGATAAACTACTTAGATAAAGCGATAGAGGTCACATTTCAAGCTTGAGTCATTGACACAAGCTTTGGTCAGAGCCGTCTCGCTTGGAATAAGACAATTTACCGCTAATATATAGGAATAGAACGCTATCCCCCACACCGGTCTTCCACTCCTCGGATTAAGCCCCAATTCCGGTCCCCAGAGATTTCATACCCCGGATCAGCCAATGCGTCTGTACCCCAGACGCTGACATGTGTCAAATGCAGTATAAAAGTTTCAGCTCCCATCTGGGGAACTGTTACTCGAACTCGTTTTCCATACTTTCATACTTTGACATCCCCTTGTCAGAATGGCATCATCGGCGTTCATGGGCCTTCGAGGAAGTGCCCTGACTCTGGCACAGTTGATCGTGGTTGTCTGTCCTGCCTTTATCTTGTTTGGTTACAACCAGTCCAATTTGGGCGGTCTTGTGTCTGTGTCAGATTTTGTTCAACATTTCCCGAGAATCGACACGAAGACGACGGAGGGGGACCAGAAAAGCTCAAATGCTACAATCCAAGGAGTGGTCGTGGCGACTTTCACGTTAGGGGCTCTGATCGGATGCTTGTCGTGTTCATACACAGCCGACAGGTTTGGCCGTCGTTTGGTCATTTTTGCTGGTGCTATACTCACGGTCGTTGGCGAGGTCTTGGAGGCATCTGCATTTCAGCTGGCCCAGCTGATTGTTGGTCGAACGATCTTGGGTGCCGGTGTGGGCATGCTCAGCGGCACAGTGCCAACCTGGCAGAGCGAGTGTTCCAGCTCGAAGAGTCGCGGAAAACACGTTGTTCTGGATGGACTCTTCATCTCGCTGGGTTATGTTCTACAAGCTTGGATCAACTTAGGATTCTACCAGATCAAGACCGGACCGGCGTCATGGCGAGCACCAATTGCAATTCCGATCTTCTTTTCCCTTGTACTCGGCGTTGCTATCCTCTTCATGCCCGAGTCGCCCCGATGGCTCATCCAACAAGGCCGCAAACACGAAGCACAAAATACCCTCGCCGCGTTGAAAGACCTCCCTGAAAACGACCCCACGATCCATACAGAAGTGTCAACTATGGAGATCTCTTTGGAGCAGACGGGCAAGACGGCATCCTTAGGAGACCTGCTGAAAATGGGAGAGGATAGGCTCCTCTACCGGTTTGGCCTTTGCATCCTCTTGCAATTCTACCAGCAAATGTCCGGCGGAAACTTGATCTCAGTATATTCAACGGCTATATTCGAAGACGGCCTGGAAATGGGGTCTCAAACATCTCGAATTCTGTCGGGGGGGACGTTAACGTGGAAGTTTCTGTCATGCTTTGTCGCCTTCTTCACCATTGATCGATTTGGTCGCCGATTCGTCTTGATGGTTAGTGGCACTGGTATGGCAACTTGCATGATGGGACTAGCTATTGCGACCTCATTCCCGCATTCCAACTATGCGGCTTCTGTCGTTAGTGTCTTGTTCGTGTTTCTGTTCAACTTTTTCATTCCCATCGGATTCCTTGGTGCGAACTTCTTGTATTGCACTGAAGTCGCTCCGACGCGACTGAGAGTTGCTATGGCTAGTATCTCGACTGCCAACCATTGGCTGTGGTGAGCTTTTAGCAGTTCAGTTCCTCATTACCATCATAGATATTAACCGCGTTGCAGGAATTTTGCTGTGACCATGATCACACCCGTGGCAATCGACACTATCGGATATCAGTACTATCTTGTCTTTACGTGCGTTGGACTCTGCATTCCTCTTTCTGTGTACTTCTTTTACCCAGAGGTAAGTTTTGTTCCCTTTCTGCCCTTGAATCATCCGCTAACATGAAGTAGACAATGGGTCGAAGTCTCGAAGAGATTGATTTGGTATTTCGTAAAAGTCCGTCGGTGTTTTCAACAGTGCAGTATGCGAAGAAGAACTCTCACCTCACAGTGGAAGACAGCTTCGTGGAGGAAAAAGCGAAAATCAAGCATGAGGAGAATGTTTAGGGGCTATAAATAAATGGGCGGTGGGACAACTGAACAGAATATGACGGTTTATCTAAAGTGGTATGAGAGGAGACATATAGTGCTTATACAGTAAAATAAGGTCATTCCGATGAGTGCTCAGCGAGGCCCTAGTACTCCGTAAGATAGAGACGAGGAATGGTTGAGATGTATGATGTCAACACCTCAGGATCATGCCACGGCCTGAGGCCAGCCGGAATAGTCGGCTATTCCGGGCTCCGCACAACTGTGACCCACATCCCAAACTGGACTAGCGCAGTCCTCTTCCTCCACACCGGGCGGCGATGATCTATTCTCGTCGGAAACAGAACTTGTTCCGTCTGCATTGCAGCATCCATGTCAATCTGCACAGTCATCGATGGCCGACCATGACAGGGAGACGGTCAGCTCAGGTTTGGTGAGTGGAGAATATGCAAGGTGGTGGAATGAAGATGGAAACTAACTCGACTGTGCCTGCCACAGCGATCGTTGTCGGATGTAAGAGCAATGCATCTTTTGGTCATCGGACTCGAATTCTAACTAGAGTAGTAAGAGGATCAAGTGCGATGGACGTCAGCCTAAGGTAATTATATCTCTCTCCTCGCCAGTCAAGCTGTCTATCTTGCTAATTAGCCAGTGTGGAAAATGCGAGAGAGCTGGGAGCGAGTGTTCTGTGTCCGTTCAGCTGAGAAGACGGACTACTCCTCGGGGGTATGACGACTTTTTGGCCCGCAACGTGCTGCATATACTGAGCAATGTACAGCTACATAGAACCCACGCATGAGGTCATTCAAGAACTTCATCGAGAGCTAGAGACAGCACGCAACCAGCTACAACTCGCCGCTATCCGTGAACGTGAGCTTGATGCCACCATTGCTTCCCAGGCCGAGGAAATCGAAAGGCTAAAGGAGCTCAGCGGAGCACCTCGAAGCAACAGTGGACTAGCTGGACAGGGAGAAGACCGTAACTCAAATTCAACTGCCGGACCCGTGGTGGGACATCTCGGACGACTGGTTCTAGGGGAGGACAATGCCGAATTCTTTGCGGGCTCTACCACCGGGGTTCATTTCATCCTGTCAGCACAGCAACAATACCAAGCTGCATTTACGTCGCGTGAATACTTCCCAGAATGCCTGTTTCGACTTCATGTGCTTCAGCCTACTCATATACGTGGTGCCTCAACCGGGGATATTTTCCCGGATGGAAGAGCTGGTGATGTATTTGGCTCTGTTGCAAATGGCTATAAGGCACAATGCGACTACATTCGCAATCTTGGGGCGCCTGCTATTCGTGGGATATTTGAGAGGTATCTACAGAATTGGGGATCTTTGTACCCTGTTTTGCTATCAAAGCAATTCTTCGAAACCCTGGAGGATGTGATGACCAATTCGTCACTCTTGTTAGTTGATCGACGGCGAACCGTGCCATTTTTACTCCAAGTTTATGCTTTGATGGCAATCGACTGTGGAAAGGGTGGCAATAGTTCATGTCTAAGCCCTGCTCACTCATTGGACTACAATAACATTATGAGCAGCTTGTATACTCGCATGCCCTGCCGTGGAGATCTTCCCAGTCTACAGGCTATCATTATCTATCTGCTTTATCTCCGAACAACTTCGCAACACTCGCTAGCGATTAGGGTCTGTGGGACAGCGGTCAGATTGGGCCAATCACTGGGACTACATCGCCACTCGAGACGCTTTAAACACCCGCCTGGTGAAGCCGAACTGCGGAAGCGCCTATGGTGGGCCGTGTTTGCTCTTGATATGTATGGATCTGCCCTTCAAGTCGCTGTTATCTTGTGAATTCTAACTATTGTGGCAGACATTCGAGCACCATATATGGACTTCCCAGGACTGTCCAGTTAGCAGACACTGACACTGATCTCCCAATCAACACGGATTACGACGACCTATACTGCGATCAACTTTCTTACCCCCTACCCGGCGAAACCACCACTGTTGAGCCCTTTCTTCATCACGTCCTTGTGACCCAAATTCTCTCTCGGTGCCTCGAGCAGATGTATACTACTACAAATCGTCGTGGCGGCGTTGCAAAAGTCCATCGACTTCAACGAGAGATAGAGGTGTGGAAGCAGAATGTCCAGTCGGCCTTACCTGGCCTAGCACTCATTCAGCAGGAAATCGACACCAAGCGCGATAACATTCATAATAGCAACAACAGCGCAATCCTGCCATCGCAGTATCTCGATTTTAGCTCACTATGGCTTTTCATGTTGGGTGAACTCACCGTCATATTAATACACCGCCCCGCTTTGACCTTTGGACCCCAGGAGCCGCAGTTTGTTGACAGCCTACAATCATGCGTGGAGTCGGCAACGAATCTAATATTGGCATTCGAGTATGCACAGTCGGAATACCCAATCACACGCTTGTGGCCGCTGGGATATCATATCATCTTCCAAAGTGGGCTGACGCTCTTGTACGATCGGTGGTTCGAGGACCTCCCCCGATCGTCTCGAGCTGCAAAAAATGTGCCTAACCTGGCGCCTCTCATCTGCACCACCGTTAACGTTCTATCAAAACATGCAACGTTCCTAGATGAAGCAATGGTGTCGGGGGCCACGAATGTTTCATCTGCAACAGAAACTATGCGAACACTCCGACAAACAGCTTCGTACCTCCACCGTCTGTTCACCCAAACCATCGACAAGGAGTCTCAATTCATCGGTCACAACCATATTCCAGGTATCACGGCGGAATCACCAAATGAGATTAGGTCGGCTCTTCCAGACCTTGACATACTCGAAAGCATGGAACGGCCAACCCTCCCCGAATACGCCGCGTCGATGTGGCCACCGCTGTCCATCGATGAGATAAACCAGATGGAAGTGTTTGAATTTACAGATTCCTTCCTGATACCATGAGATAGTTAAGTTGAAGTTCCGGGTTATAAAATCTCTTATAACGGAGAGTTGCTGAATCATGTTTGGCGCTGTTGCCAGAAGCTCCTAGAACAAAGGAGTAGGCTTGAGAAGATGGAGATACATAAAGAGCATGCAGAGCCCATATACGAGCGTGGATCTATCTTCGGGCAATCAACCGCTGCGGGACATCGGGATTGAGTGTTGTCGCCACGCTAAACCTTTCAACCCTTGGGTCAGCAACTACATATCAGTGCAGCTTCTGAAAAGCAAGGCCCAAGAAACCCTTCAAACAATGCCGTTGGCTATCCTAGATCTTCCTAATCAGCTGCTTTACCTTATTGTTGAGTTCGCATTAACGTACCGGGACTCGCCAGTTTCACCTAGCGACCGACGAAATCTCTCTGTACAACGCATCTACTGGCGCGAGGGGCCTTGGGACCCCTGTTCAGGCCCATACCGCGGCGCGCCCCACCACGTCAAGTACAATTAAAGTCAGGAAACACTTAACCATAACTGGAAATCTGCTCCTCGCACTCTGCGTCTTGTCAATCGAAAGCTGGCTGAAATTGAGCGACGGAGATTCTCCAAATCAAGCAATTATGCCCTGGACGTCATGCTCGTCAACGAAACAGAACTTTGGCCAACATGGACTTCTCTCACACCTCCATGTGAAAATGTCAACAAACTGGAAGCGACTTTTCGCATCATTGGTACCGGCCCAACATCAGATGTGCGCAAGTTCTTTCTTCCTTGCGTCATTGGTGGGCCCTCAATTGTCTGGTGTTTCTTTTATCTGTTCGAGAGATTTCTCCAATATGGCCCTCTTGCGGAAAATCCGGAATTTAACCCACCAGTCTCCGATAGACACCCGTTTACTATCAATGAGTTGACGCTCAACGTTGAGACTCCGAATGGTATGATATTCTCCCCGAGGATGAGTTATGAAAACTGGTTGGACATCCGCGATGATGATCACCCTTACACCCCATATATATGGGATCCTAAAATGGTCGAAAAACCTATGATGCGACCTGCATGGTTGGTCAGTTTGATAAGCGATTATATCGGGTATGCACTGGACATGGAAGACCGTTTCCTGAAGAAGTTTGGACATATCTTGCACAAATGCATTGGGACTGTCCGGATCTGTTTGGATAGGTCTCTGGTCAAAGTCCACGCTGTCGACCGTCGCCTGAAGGAGTATGTCGATAAAGAAAGACTCGAGGCTACTGGGACCCTATCTGGGATCATAGCCGCACCGGCGTTCGAAGCAGATGTATTGAACATTTATGAAAAAAAGGAAGAAAGCTGGGTTGCCGGTGATTTATTGAAAGTTTATCGATGCATGCCTACGCCGCTAGATGGATATTCTATACAGCGGAAATTATTTTTGATTTTGGTAGGGCCCTATGCTCAACCTGTAGCGTAAACCTACACAAAGAGCCGCAGAAAAGATAACGTGGCACCATGTGCATAAAATTGAACCCTTGCTAGACCACTCCTTCAATTTTTCGGAAGCCTAGCTACCACGCACCCTACTGACAAAGGATGGGTGCGGCCCAAGCAACCGTCACTGTACTTTTCCATTACTACTAGTCAATATACCTTCAAGGGTAGCTCATCCTCCCACTCCTTTGCAGACATCGCGGCCCGGCCAAGGCTTTAATTGTAGCGGGTAATTAACCCTATAAGAAGCTATCTAAACGAGAGACTGGCTATCTATTCAATAATAATGATCTGCCAGATCCCTTAAAAATACTAGTTAAAATCAGAAGTTATATTTATATTTAGAGTATTTAAAGTAAAGCTCTAAAGGATCACGGAACTTACCACGTTAAAAAGTTGCCTTGTACTTTTGGACAATGATTTATTGAAAAATCTTGAAGAGTTTAATCGTAAGTTCAGTCTGGTAACAGTGAGAGATTTAGAATGATAACTTTCCGTGAGATTCCGGCCTACCAAATGTGGAGTATCGGTTGTATATGATAATCAGTTATGGGTAGACATTGACATGATGATACCTCCCATAGGCCTGGGGCAAATTTACTCCTACTCCCATGAGTCCCGCTAAGTTTATTATTTTGCATTACTTTGCATAACTTTACATAGTTTTCCCGAATTGGATAGATAAAATGATGACTTCTCTAGATTTTTTAAATACTTGTACTGTTTACAGTCCCGTGGGAAGTCCCATACTCCTAAAGGGGGGGACGTAGGGCTGGAAGTCTCGTGGGAAATGTCAATATCTAATTATGGGAGGGCACGGCCCGTGGACTTAGCAACCTTGTTTAGAAATTAGAAGGATGATAGCTCAACAACATTAATGCTTATGTAAGTTCATGCTCTAGATTAATATTATGGTGATTCGTCTTTTTTAATGACTCTCAGAATGAAACTTTTTCAATCTGCTTTCAAGGTTCGCAAACGACCGCACTAATTTAGGAATCTGTGTAAAGCTTTTACGGTATTGCTTTTTTTGAGAACCTGTTATAACTGGGGAACGAATTTTCTTCTGTGACCGACTTCCCGGATCTTTCCAAGCTGTTTTACACGATATGGTATTATTACGCTTTGTCCGGCTCACGGCTCGATGTCTTGCTGTTGCGGTCATCGGCATTGGAGCAGTTTGTTTCGCGGTAAATAGTTCTCCTGGTCGTGACACGGCAGAAGAAGTAAAAGAATAATTCCGGGTTTTATCTAAGCACCCTGTTCCCGAAAACTGGACGGGAAGAACTTGGCAGATTCGGAACGATTATCCTGTTCTCCCTGAACAACCTTCAATTCAGGGAGAAGAACGAGAAACCGACCTACCGGTTGCTCTAGGCCCCGAGCTTCCTATACCAGGTCGAGGATTGCAGGAGGCTCTGTGGCTATGTGTCTTTAAGGTAGGGAAGAGGAAGTCCTCTTATTGAAGACTGACTGAAATACTTCCTCAGATACTCTTGATCAATGTTACAGATGGGGAATTCCCGAACCTGAAAGGCTCGCCGTCCATGAGTGCTGTGAGTAAATCCTGATAACATACTAAGAGGTCACATTTACAAAGCTTAATGGTCAGGTTATTGCTCGCGATCCTAAAAACCCGAAAACTTAAAGAGCTTCCCCGATAATAAGAGACCAAACCACCTCTGAAGTACGATTGCTGCAAGTGGATTTCGCAGTCTGAGATGATAGAGCTCCGATCGGCTGGGTCTTTGGCACTTTCATATATAATAGTGAGTAGAGTGAAAAGAATATAAGTTATTTAAAACCCTGTTGAGTTAAAGCGTTTGCCGCTCAAAAGAGACCAAGGCGTGGGATCGTATTATCCCTGTTGGTATCATATAGGGAAATAACCCAGAACTGGACCAAGCTGCCTTTGAGAGGGGAGGCAAAGCAGTAGAGTCGTGGATAAACCCAGAAGCGGAAGATTTGCGAATCCTCTTAAAAGGAATGCGACCCAGTTGGGGGTGGAATGGTCGGACGAATGGACCCGGTGCGAGTTTTGCTCTCTGCCCTCCATAGAGGTTTCGTGTCCTAACCAATTACAGCGGATAATTTCATATCGGCTTGTGCGTCCTGTCACTCTACCTCGCAACTTGGCGGAAATGACCAGGACATCATGACCCCGCCAGTGCGTAAGCTAGGCGATGGTACGCGCACCCCTAAAGACGACAAGGAAACCATGAAGTGGTAAGGCTCTGCAACATGCCCATCCCTATTCCGATCTATTTTTTTTTTGGCCTGACCATGCGCCCTTCACGGCACTAGGTTCGACAATATACCATTTGGTCAGCCTTTTACGCCCGGCACTCCACCCGGCGACTACTTTCTCCAGTTGATGATTGGATTCCATAACTAACACCACTGGAAGTTGTCCCAAGAGGGAAGACCTGGGGGATTGACGGATAGAGTAAAATATACTTTCCGTGGAGAAGCGCGAGGGTCTCAGAAATGGACCGGATATGCACTATGATCCTCCAGAGTCAGTTAACGAGACTCGGTAGCTAACCATCAAGAAAAAAACAGATTAATAACTCAGATTAGCTAATTGACCAGTCCGACTGCTCAGGTGTGCAAATATGGCTTGAAAAAATTCTACCTAATCCAGAACTTCACATGTAGTCGCGATAGCAAGACATTGTTAGGTTGCGAATGCTCTTCGCTTCCAATCCCTTGCCTTAGATCGGAGTACGTTTGTCGAAATGGTGGGTACCAATGCTCGAGTACAATGATGATCTCGTTACCACACCCGATAAAATTAGTTCGCTGCAGTCTTGCTAGACGCAAGAGGCGTGGGAAACAAATAGTAGGCTATCCAACCAACGAAGTACCGGCGGAGATCCGCCATTTAGATAGTCACAATTGTCCTGAGGGCCTTCATCGGGGCCATAATGATACGTCTGGATTCGTGTATGATCTGAGGACATCCCTTCAGCCACCCAAAGATGGAGTCCAAGTTTTTGAGCGGAGTTTTGGGGACATGAAACAACGTTGCTATTGGTGCCCGCAGATGATCTGGGTAATGAGAAGGCTAGAGTTTGGTGTTCTCATCGGTGGCCGCCAACCTTCGAATCATTGAGCATGCTGGCGCATAAATAAGACCTGCGCTTATTTATTTAAATGAGGGGTACATAAAACTGAAAATTTCAATGCATGTAAGATGTGTTTGGATGGGTATGTGGGCTTGCTTAGTTCTCATATCCAATTCGGCCGCTATGTTTCCACGTATGGAAACTCTGGCAATTTCTCCTGGGAGATAATAGATAGCCAACAATCGCTCACACCTGATTTCTCCATTCACGGCAAGTAATTAACCCCAATCAATGGGGAAGCATATTTGTGTTATAACCCCCTGGCGTATGCTTCGGGGCTAGGAAGTATTCCCTGCGACCCCTGCACTGGACAGCAGACTAAATTTTTAGAAACGTCGCCACAGCTTCATTATTACAACACCCAATCATAGCAACCCTGAGTCTACCTCTGAAATGATAGTAGCGTAAAATCTGTAAACTAATTGCCGTTAGTAGATGCGAAAGGAAGATTAGCAAGCACTAGGTTTCATAGTTAGTATATCCAGGCAACGAAATTCGTTGCCCACCCAGCCCCTATGAATGTTGGGGAACTGCCCATACATTGATCATTTTTGCATAAACAAACTAAAGCATGAATATCCAGAAGAAAAAGAAAATTACTTAGTATTCTATGGTCAGAGAGTGATTTCGCGTGTTACGAGCAAATTAAGTTCATGATCAACAAATTCATATTCCGGAATACAAAGAGTGAATGAGGTCAGAGTAGATACAAATGCAAACAATGAGCTCATACCCATTATTCGCTGTTTTCTTAGACATGCCACGTGTACTTCATCGTTGCCGCCCTTCACCGAGACGTCTGGTATGCTGTGAGCATTAAAAGGTCAGACGAGCCCTCTACTAAATCGCAATATAGTTTGGCAAAGAGCGTGTTTTATGACTTACTAAGAGACGATGATTGTATTTCAGGCAAATGATAGCCTGAGGTTTGTTTCCAGAAGCCTAAAAGATTGGCGCTTTCTCTGCAGCAGCCTTGGCCTCTTCCTCCTCCTCTTGAAGAGGGAAGTCGCAATCAGAGACGCCACCACAGCAGTTGCGAAAGCCAGACAAATGCTCAGAGATTGAGCTGGCAAGACAGTCATGACCGTTTCGAAAGACACCATTGAACTTGTTGCAGCAAGACTTCGTTTTACCATTGTTCCACTTTCCATTAACGGAGCATTGGCAAGCGATGGCAGAGGTCGAAAGAGCAACAATGGCTAAGGTGGTAAAAGAGAACTTCATTTTTGCTGAGAAAGTATGAAAAAAATATATGTTTAGAGTTGGAGGGTATGCTATAGAAATAGAAAACTTCTTCTGGGTTCGGGTCGAGTAACGATGAAAAGGGGATGAGGAATAAGATGAGATGAGAAAGGGGAGCAGAAGGGAGACTACTTATAAGTTTTGAGTGAGGCATATCCCCTTTTGAAGCGCTTGTGACGCAAAGCCGAGTACATCTTGTGTGGATGACGCAGAATCCAAGAGCATCAACAATAAATCGCCGTATATCGCATCACGTTGCATCCGGATCACTCCGTTCCAAACACCCCTGTCATTGCAGCGCAAGAGATGATGGCCAAAACACACCAAATCGTAAGATCACATGGAAACTACTATAATAGGGATGAGCTGATACTATGATCGTGTGTTCAAAAGTACTGTACAATGGAAAATATCGCACTTGGCACTACGTCCAGATAATTGACTAGGCCAGTACCTCTCCTATAAGTAGTCATAGTTATAATACTAGCTAGTATTGGTTTACAGAGTATCATGGTTTCTTAACTCCTACCATAAGAGGACTAATATCAGGAACTTATAGCATATAGAATCTGATTGAAATAGCACAGTCCCATTGCTAGTAGCCACCATTAAGGAACTACAATATACTGTGCTCTAAGTACAACGACTTTACCCCGAGCATGCGCTTACATAGTAGTTTGTAACCTGCTTCCGCGTCCATCAAGTCTCCCTAAAACCTAAATGAATATAACTAGTCTATCTCGGCGAACCAAGCCCGAGTCAAGTGTAGTGCACCATAGATTACACGCCACAAAGCGGAGATATGACTGACAAGGATACGCAAAGACCGCTTTTACAAAATGAATTTACCCTCCGGCTTATCATAAAATTGACTAGTAGCATAATTTTTAGGAGATCAGCACTTAGTTCTATCCAAACATTGTACCCAGAAATGTTCTGGTCGCTAGTATGAAGCAATCCAAGGGTATGAAGCTATGCCAACAATATAATACAGTACTACGGAGTACCAAGTACGATCCATTATTGTTTGCAGTAAACTAAGTTCGTAAGTAGGTAGGTACTTAGTTGTTCTCCTACTTTGCCTTATTTGATAGGCTGAACGGACCGGAGAAGGCTAACAGGAAGGGTGGCCTGGTCACACCTAGGCGTCACCCACCCTGCTAGAACCCCAAGGAGGGCAAACATGCTCAAAGGCCCTGCGCAAGAAGGCGGTGTGGGGCAAGGAAAAGGAACAGAATGTATACAAAACGAGGGAATAGCCCTAGGAACTGATAGGGGTCTGAGGCTAGGCCTCAGGCCAACGACACACGGTCTGTCATAGCCCTAGGGGCTCGGTATGGACAATAAACTTGATTAAATAATAATAATAATAATACCTTATTTGATTGGCCGACAGCTGCGCCGCAGGAACTCAGGTTCCATCCTGCCGGGCCGTGCGGGCACTTCCGGGAGCCAGAAGACCGAGATGCGGACGTACAAACCACCTGCCTAGATAGGTACCTATGGTACGATTATATTACATGGAGCATACCCTCCCACGTTCTCGGGTCTACCTAGGTACTCCGTAAGATAAGTACTGGTAGCAGTCAAAGTTACATCATATCTGCGAATGACTCGAATCCACTTTAACAATCCTAGAGCATTATCCGGGTATCATTGGTTAACAAATGTTTGTTCCCAATCATTCACAATACGGATGTGCTACCTCATGGTGAGTTTTAGAGAAGATTCATAAATCACAGCAAAATGAGATAGGTATTAAAAACCATGGAATACGGGGACGGGCCGCTCCTTAAGGGTCTAGAAGGATCTAAGGTTAGAGAGCATCTACTGAGTTGTCCATGGTACGTAACTTGTTGTCTATATGTGGGTCACTGAGGTGTTAGGTTGACGACCTAAGCAAAAGCTGACCGATTTCCCACTGGAGTCACGCATGCGCATGGGCCAATACCCAAGTTACCGGGTAGTGAGATGATGGCTAGTAAAGTTAGTTGCTTTAGCTTTTCATAGGTTGTGTCAGCATGACAACTAACTAGTTATTAGTTAGTTAAGTGGCTGTAGAGTTCATGCACCTACATAATCATTAATAAAAACATATAACCCGTTATCATTCCATGAACCTGATTTTATTACAGCAAATTTATAAAACATGATTCCAGAACTGGCGGATAGCCGTCTTTTCCTACACATTATATGGATTCCTTCCTGGGTTTAATTGAATGGGATACCGTGACGAACAATATTCCATGCTAGAGGAAAGGCTGTGATTGGGTACGCCTAGGATTCTGTAACAGCCAATTGGATCCTCTGATGGGGTTTGGGCGTCAGGGGCTCAGGCTTACCCCGCATTCTAGGATCCTGGTAGTTGCTAGGTAATTAGTCAAGTTTCTGGTCCCCTTTATGCGCATTGGGCTTCTGTATGAGGTAGACTAAGACATGCATCCTTAGTCTACAGGGTGGCGGAATTTAACACGAAGTGATATGTCTACTAGGTGCCCCTATTAAAGCACCATCATCACTTGTGGGGCAGCACATGGAGCGTTACATCCGGAAACATCGGACATGAATGGGTTGACATAAGTACATTTTTCATTTCTCTTCTGCTCAACGAACTCGATTAATGCGCTAGACGTGTATTGTGTGAGTTTCTTATTTATACTCCATAACGTAAAGCTTCCCATAGTTAGCTATTTTCATTCTATCTGAATTATCAGCAATTACTACTGCAAAAGCGCTTGCTCTTTATAGATCCCTTTATTACAGCTACCCACACCTTTATCGAGATCATAACCACACAGGAGCAATTGGGGTTAGAATCTTAGAGCTTCTAGGATTATGGATAAAATCAATTCGTTTGTCCACATGGACAAACGAGTTGGGGTAGTCTTCCTTACTTTGCTCACGCAAATATTAGCACAGCACTTGTTCACACAAACCGCTGAAGTTGGCTCCGAGATGGTGGCATGGGCAATACTACCTATCTTATTTAGAGGCTTCAGACACCAGTATTTGACGTACCCGGTTAAGCGGTATCCTGACTTAGTCGATTTTGGGTCTCTGTCTTCGATGCACTTGTGGGTAATCGCTGTCGGCTTATGCATATCTTTTTGGTTCAAATCGGAAATTGGAGTTCTCAAAAGCTTTGTACGTTAAGCAAGCCCCTTCACAAACGTATTGCTGATGGATAGAAGCCCATGCTATTCCCTTTACTACTTATATCAGCCAAGGTATTCAGTTTCCGCACACACAGCTCGACAGGGTCACACCGTTGCTCCTTCCTAACAGAAAATTTCTATGGGTCTACCGTCGTTTCCTTGTTGGGATCGTTTACTCTCGGATCCACGAATCTTTTCCAATGGTTTCTTTCAATAATTCCCATGAGCTGTGTCCTGGGCATTCTTATCATCGTATCATCTCGGCTTGGAAGATCGTCGCTCCACGATACCAATGCCGAACACTCAATATTTCACCTCGCAGCTAGGATCCTAGTCCTGTTAGCAATAACGGTAGTAGTCGAGATGGCTATATTTGGGGTTTCCTGGGGGCATCCCCTTACCGCTCTTGCTTTAGGCTCGTGTAAGGGACTTGCCTACTATTTCACAATTCAGACTGTAGGTCTCCGAAGCTCACCATATTCGGTATATGCTCATAGCTTTTAAGGCTTGCTATTCTTCCTGGAGTACAGCTATTTTGATAGAAACATTCGGTCTCCTGTCCTCCAACAGCCCGTTCAAAGCGTCCTCGGACCTCAAAGCATTTTTGAACGTTCCCGCCTCAGCACTTGTGCTTGCTCAAATTACCCAAGTACTTCCAAGTAATGTCAAGGGGAAATCATTCCTGTGGATATTTGGCCTCGCAACGATAGTTCCATATTTTGCGAACGTATGGACTATATATGCCGCTGAAAATGGGATCGTCCAGAATCATCCCATTGCGCATCTGATGGAGAACGCCAGGCTCGAGTTCCACCAGACTCTTGATAAGCAGTCCAGAACATATACAGCTGCATGCGAGGAGTATCGGCATCGTTATAAAGTTGAGCCGCCACCGGGATTCGAGAAATGGTATCAATTTGCAGCTGCTCATCAATCGCCGATACTTGATAATTTCGATGTGATATATAACAGTGTACGACCCTTGTTGAATTTGAGCGGCAGAGAGATCAACGAAAACATTAATAAGGCACGCAACTTGCCTGGTAACGAGCTCTGGTCCTGTACGTTCCTTGGCAGCCTTCTCAAAACAAAATGCTCGCATGATAATCGCGTGTTTGATCGGAATATCCAGCAGTCATTTGACAGTTTACTCGAAAATATACCTGCAACTCTCCCTGACGTTACGTTTCTCGTCAATCACCTTGATGAACCGAGGATAATTCTACCGCCACCGATCAATCCCCCCTACGATTTGAACATAAAGAGTCAGGCTGGACAAGCAACATGGCATACTGTATCGAATGTTTGCGCCCACAAAGTCGAGAAGGCTCAAACCCAAGAGCAGAACTCAGCCAAGCATTCCGAACTTCCATTTGTCGTTGATCCTGCGCTGGACCAAGATTTATGCCTGCATCCTGAATACAACACAATGCATGGGGTGTTTCTCAGTCCAACGTCCTTCCGTCCAATAGAGGGGCTCGTCCCAGTGCTTTCGACCGGTTCTCTATCGACCATGGGCGATATCCTATATCCGAGCCCCGCATACATGGAAGCAGAATTCGAGTATAGTGCTAGCAAGGACATCGAGTGGGAAAAGAAACAGAACAAGCTTTATTGGGCTGGTTCTACTACGGGTGGGTTCGCCTTGAATGACCATTGGCGACAGTTCCAACGACAGAGGTTTGTCAGTCTGGTGCAAAACCAAGAGCGACGAAGTTTTTCCTATCTATATCAGAGCAGAGCCGGCTCGGTCAATCTTACGAAATCAACATTTCTCAATAGTAGGTTGTTTGACGTCGCGTTTACTCGAATATTCCAATGTGAAACCAAGTACTGCCGCGACCAACGGCGCTACTTCCATACCCACTCCTGGGCAGACAAAGACAAAGGCTTTCAATCGCGGCTGGTGTTCGACTTGGACGGGAACGGCATCAGTGGGCGATTTTACAGCTTGTTAGCCTCGAAATCAGCTCCCCTCAAACAAACGCTATTTCGAGAGTGGCACGATGATCGTCTAAAGCCGTGGGTGCATTATATACCGGTCAGCCAGAGCATGGACGAACTGCTTGAGATAGTGAGGTATTTTTCGTCTCGGACGGGACAAGAGAAGGCTAGAGAGATTGCTGAAAATGGTCATGATTGGTTCTCCAAGTCGTTCCGGCCAGTGGATTTGACTATATATCTTTATCGGTTGCTATTAGAGTTGGCGAGATTGCAGGATGTCGATCGACCTGCTCTGCAGGCAGTGGGAGAAACACTATGAAGGGCTATCGAGAGTCCCGTGACTGTCAGTCTGTAACCATGGTAGATTAACTGTTTACAAGCCACACTTCCGCCTTCCGCCCAACCGACGAGAAGCTCTTCATCGTCGCGACATATCTCAATTAGAATCACAATTTTGTTCGGACAGACACCACAGGGTACTAGATGAATTGCACAATCAAGCGATTTCTTAGAGGGAGGGGGCATCTGGTTGAAGCCGAGGTTGTCGTTGACGGCCAGGAGGCCAGGTCAGGACTTCATCTAAAACTGATGTAGAAAGACAGTATCTGATTTGATTGAATCCAGTGCATGACGAGACATTTTCCCCATCCAGTGTCTACTGAGCGACACGGAAGATAATGCGCATTTTGTCGTCAGCCAAGAGTTGTCGAGCCTCTTCGCAGACCGATTACGCAAACCCCGACAACTGGATTGTCATCGTTGGTGCAACGTTGAGGCATCTCGACAATAAAAATAGATTTCCTGGTTCCTGGTGCCTGGTCCCTTTCCACCTGGAAGCCTGACTGATTCCCTATTCCGGATGTCGACGCAGGACGGTCTTGGGGGTCTTGGGAGTCTTGGAAGACACGGCACAGACCACAGGCAGGGATGCCGGGGATGGAGGTGGCTCATCCTTCAATCTTTAGCCAATCGGTTGGACGATGCCTGCGATAAGATGCACGAGAGATGCTCTATTATTAAATCCCACGCTGTGTGGCAGGTGATCCTGGCAATCAACGATGATTCAACCATTCGGCCCAGTCTGAAGCTAGAGAAGCAGATATTAAGCCAGCACTTGCGCTGGTTTCCGACTATCGCCATTGCTGGGAAGAGCGAGTGATTGGCCTTCCGGAGAGTTGACCGAATAAGGGGGAGTAGGGTAGCAAGTTGGGCCGACCTTTGCAGTGCTATTCGACGTCGGAGTTGTAGGAATATCATTCCCTAGAACTTGTTGATTGTTCATCATTTTACCAGGGTAACTTGAGGAACACGACGTTCTCCGCTCATGGTTCGGCGAGACCTGGTTGACCAGAGGCTGGGTTATCTGCGGAAAACCTGTAGGATAAGGCTTTAATACCGGAGAACTCTGCGAGGCTAAGATGAAAAGAAATAAGATATGAACAGCTGTTACCTGATAGCAATAACGACGTAGGCCCGTGTGTTTGAGTTCTCGGCTGCACTAAAGCACATTTTACAATGCCAGTGCCATAAAGAAATCAACCAATATTCTCTCTTCCGAGCTTCCGGATCTGATTCAGATTATCTCCGAGAGCTTGAGCCAGCTGGAAAGACATTGTAAGACCAATTACTTGCATTCTCTCAGTCAACTCACCTCGCAACGCCCCCTATCATCCAGAAAGCCGTGTCCAGGCCCCTACGACGTACACGAAGAGTGGTAGGAGAAACTAAGATGAAGGAAATCGGTAACGGGCTCACTCACCTCGAACTCCAATGAGATCATGTACGTGCCTTCGCGCCAATGGAAAGTCGACGATATATCCATTTGCAAGGTTTTCAGATCATGCCACGCAATATAACTTCCTGCTTCAATCATTCCCAAATGTCGTCAATAATTATAAGGTCAAGTGATCTCAGTAAGTCCCAGTTCTTCCCAAACTGGTCAGCCAACTGAGGTATTGTGAGCGATATATCAATAGTCGACAACGGGTTATATACGTTGGCCGCAGAATCCTTTCACCTCAGGCCGCTCAGGGCGTGCTCAGGTCTACTCAGTGAGTAAAAAGCGGCGAGGGGTGAGCACTAAAACGGAAAGGGAAGGCTGTCGACCTGGCTAGAAAATCAAGTACATATACAGACGAGAACTTCAGCTTCAGGGGCTCCAAAACGCGCTCCACCGACATGTTCTAATTGCAATATTCAAGGCCATCCTAGAACTAGATGTACTACACGCGCAGTTTGAATAGCTTCAATAAAAACGCGTGGTTTTGTTGATAATTAATGGCTTCAATTCTTGAATGTGTGGTCGATCTCGGTTGGGGTGGCCACTCGCCCGGGAATTACGTTAACTAACTTGCATGCAGGGTGATGACTAACGCATATGGATCACGCGACGCGACCATAACGTCATAGAAATCTGGCTTTGGAATCAAGAGTATTCATGTTCATTGATGCAGATCCCATCGCATGCTTCGAAAAATCTTCGGAAAATACAGGGCTAATCTCTCAGAATGCAGTCAGAAGGCAGTGGATCACACCCTGAAGTAGGACCCTCCCATACCCTACCTGGAAGCAAAGGCGCTAACACTATTTCCTCAGCCGTCTGAAAGTGAGAAAAGTCACTTCAGCAAGTACGGAAAGCTGACACGGGGAGGCTTACTCGGTCAAAAATCCAAGGTACTTAGAATATCGTCTATTCCGACACGTGCTAACTATTAATCGGAAGGAACGGACGTACTTTGACTCCGGCGATTTCGCTCTTTCCGCCGCTGATCGCGTGACCGACAACGGCGCTATTCAAACAGGAAAAGCGCATCCCCATCGGGACAGCATTTCGCATCCTTATGCACCTATCCCGGCCGCTAGTAATGTTGACAAGGATGCCATCGAAGATTTGTATAGGAAGAGTGCGAGTCCCGAGAAGAGTCCTCCTTCGGCAAACCAACATTGAAGATGAAGAGCCCCCAAATGAGGGACTGATAATCCTACCTCTCACGAAGATTGAAACCAAATTATTGCATTGAAATTGAAAAAAAGTTCCAACCTGTGAGTCAGCAGGACCGCATGAGCAACACAACAGTCCATATGTACCATACGCCCTCAACTGTGAGGTGAAAGCTATTCATGGAATCGTTCCGGATTTACAATACAAGTCCTTGAAACTGTGGGGCTTATGTACTTAATCAAAAAGTGTAGGTGACACCAATTTGATATCTCACACACACACACACACACACACACACACACACACCTGTATCCGACCCAACCATCCTGTATTCAATAGACGATTTAATACTTGTACTGAAGTGAGCTAGGAGAAGCCTGTGCTGTATGTGATCGATCGATGGCTTTTCTTCATTTATCTCAACTATCTCTAGCAAAATGGCTGTGAATCAACACAAACTAGGTGCCTAGTATCCGAGATTGCTCTCTCCACCTCCTCGTTACTTTTTTTTCTATTTTTCTGTTTTTCTGTTCGCTCTGGTGGTGTAGGAAGATCTATCTTCCGCTCTCGCCTGATCGATTTATAGAGCTCTTCCTTATCACGAAGCTCTATATGACGTATCCCTTGCTCAACAGATAGGGGACCACTAGTAGGAATCTGGCGTTTACTCTTCTTCTAAGTAGTAGGTGTTTTAATCTGCTTAAAGCGCTGAATATCGTCCTGGTAGATCGGTAAGGCCTCGCCTGCTCGAAAGAGCGACTGCTCAAGTAGATCGTATCGGTGCTTAATCGGTTGAAACTGGCTAGCCCGTGTACCCATCTGATCCAATAGCCATCCTGCAAGACGATGTTGCTATTCTAGATGATGGCACATCGGCGAATCTTCCGCGCCCAGTGAGCCACTTGGCCTCTACTTGCCAGTCGTTGCATAGCCAAAGCAAGCAAATGAAACGCTCCCTCCTTATCTCAGGTCCGTATGATGCAGCATGCGAGGCCGGAGATAAGATAATTATTGTTGGCGGTGCCTCGCATATTTGACCTTCCGAATGGAGTTTAGTGCACCACATGACCCACACAGCGATCGTAGATAGTTAGCTAGTCTGCAGCCTCGTTGCATAGAATTGATCAAGCATTCCACCAATTTCATCGTCAGCCATGCTGTCAATTATAGTATCCTATTTCATCTGCTAATCGAAGCTGTGGTCTGTTGCTCCTGATCAGGAGCAGGGCGCAATGCTCATCCACACCCGCTAGCCAAGTCTGATATTCTAACTCGGACAAGAGGTCCGTCCGGCTAGGGAGGAATCGACTTGAGGATAATAAGATGTTCACTGCAAGATCCAACCCGTATGTGCCTTTGTGTGGATATGGGCCATTCTCATGTCGGATCAACAAATAAATTACAGCACCGGATACTGTTATTGTTGATATCTTGGTCAAAAATGGATCACAAGATCTTCGCGCACTTGGAATGATCCATTCCAAAAAAATACAGTAACCGACAGTTAAGGCCTAGAGAGACAAAACTAATCTTTGAACCACACCATACTTGATCGGTTTACTTCGTTCCATCTGTACTTCAATACACGATGCATTCTTCCTGATTGATGGTAGATAACCAACTAATTATCTGGGTCTCTTATCACGACTTGCTGGTCTGTCTTAGCAGGGCTCCAATATCCACTCTCGCGAGGCCCGACAGGGCATCTTGATGGGCCACATTCAGAACTAGAAACAGCAAATCAGCGGTTCAGCTGGTCTTTTTCAACAAAGCTCCAATACCCCTTTTTGTGAATCACGACTTGGCAAGAAGACAAGCCTGATGGAGAAATATCAGACCCATCGACTGCACGATGGCGATGGCGATGGCGCTCAGCATGGATCCAATCTTTCTCGTCGTCAATCACGACGGGGTTTAACGGCGAGCCCAATGGAGCCTGATCATCTCGAATGACAATTGGATCGGTTCTCGTGTCTGGTCCAGGGAAAAGATTAACGTAATCAACGATGCTCATAGAAAGCCGTTTACCAAAGCAATTATGTGTCACGTCCCCGAAGCATGTCATTTTGATAGAGTGCAGTGAGGGGGAGAAATCGGGTCTCAGCGAGGTGGCAGTGCGTATGTCAATACTGGGTGTAGGGAAGAACCAGAATTTCTTGATCGGTGAATTTTGACTGCTCCTTGTGAAGATAAGGGCGGACAAAACGCATGTCTTTATACCTTTCCTCTGATCAAGGACGCCTTGCTCAGCCTGCGCGGCAAGCTGCACTGAAGGAGCGAGGTCGTAGCTAAGGATGGCTCAAGATAGATCAGGCTCACATCCAGTGGAGGCTTTTCTGCCAATCAATGCCATACCAGACACGGAAAGCCCCGATCTGCGCCACTGATGACTCGAGAGCTTTCACTCTCACCCAATAGCCTCGTCACCAAGCCACTATTTCTGGAAGAGCACACGCCTGCATATCGTCAGCTCCCTGTGTGCACGGGTGTGAAAGATGAGAGAGCTTCCTCGGTATGCGGCTTCGGACTGGATGTGAGAGACCGCCTCACTAGAGTGGTCGCCCATCCTTCCTTCGCCCAACATCGACTCGAGTGCTAAGGCGTGTGCCTCCACCGTGCTAGTCTTCTCATGTCGGTTAAAACACTCCAGTGCTATAGTAGCCCCGGGCTCTCCATATTCCAAAATCGAGGCAATATTACAGGACACAATGTATACTGCCTTAGATTCAGTGATCCCGTGAACTGTTTTTAATTATATGCATCGCGATCATGAATTCTCGGAGTGCCATCGATTTCCCTACCCTGACTGTAATCGTCTAAGACTTGTGAGATCTCGGTTATATCTAACACCATATTTCAGAAAGGGTGGCCAGCTTCATATAACAATGAATCCTCGGGACAGGCCTGCAAGAAATTGGAATTATTCCGCAAGATCTCTTTTTCCGCGACATCGTCCCTTGTGACCCTCTTGTACACTTGGACATACCCGAGAAGTCGATTCACATGCTTTATGCAGGCATGGTGGTTTATATCTGCAGAAGGAAATGTTTGGTCGACGTCCTTGGTAAGAAAAATCACCAAAAGAAAGAACCCGTAGACCTAGCAGACCATCCGGTCCGAATGCCCAGTTTGCGAATCGATGGACATCATCAAGAACAATAGCAAACTGTCCTACCGAATCATCATAGAATCCTTCGCGATAGTCTTTGAATCCTATCCAACCGAGAGGCCTTATTTGTAATAGTCGTAGGGGTCGGCATTTTTGCAGCGGAGCAAACACGGTGCACTTAGCATTTTAGCATAAACCCCTTAAAAACCATGTGGGTACTCACTAGGTCATTGGGAGGAAGGTTGACCCCCAGACAAGTAAGCTCTGCTATTTCCGTGACTAGTCGAGTAAAGGAAAGGCATTGAAATTCATATAATGACGGTACTGCACTTGCATTTACCTTTGGGTAATGGCATACAAGCCTTCGTAGCGAGAATTTGTGGTTGAGGATTGCATTCATTAATTCGCTTCCAAAATTCCTCAATAAATGAGATGAACAAATCTTCAAGCCCTTCAAAGCATAGAAGGAAGTCCATGACCGAGTCAAAGACTCTTGATGGCCGAGGCAAACCGTTATCGCTAAATTCAAAGGCCTTAAGTTGCATCGATGGTAGCGCAGGATCATCAGAGCTGAGAACCCTGAGAAGATGGGCTGATTCTGGGCAGTTTTTGAGAGCCAGTGAATTGAGACCCCTCAAGGAAAAAATAGAAGGCACGCCGTCGCAGCCATTCTTTAAGCAGATGGCGCTTAGTTCCAGTTTTTTTAATGACGGGAACTTCTGTTGAGTGCTATCTGGTGGTGATACTAACACTTCGTTCAACAGTGAATTTCGTTTTCCGAGAGTGTGGCGAATTCCTCCACAACCAATCTCATCAATCTCGATTTCCTTCAACGTTGAAGCATTGTCATTTAGTAGCTTTCCTAGGGCCTTAAACGTGCCCTCATAATCACCACCCAGCGAATTCGCTGAAGATTCTTAAAGCCGTGTAAATCGCGTATATTGAGATGGCCTCGACCTAGGCAAGTACTGTCGATACTGACTTCGAGGCATTTAATCTGAGGCTGCCACATGCTCAAATACTCAATGATAGTCTTTGGGATGCATATGCCTAGATTCCAGCTGTTGTTTGTATAAGCATACACTGTAAACATAGCAACATTAATAGGAGTCGTACCTGAACCTTTCCAATTTAGCTTCCGGAAGCAGACCCAGGAGAGGTTGGATTCTTGATTCTAACGCCTTCATAAATTGACCATGTGGTGTCAAATCCTGCATCATTAACCCATTATTTTCTCTCGCGAGAGATCCAGGGTGGAGACTCTCATTGAAGAGGACATCACTGAATTGATCGCCCTATTCTGTAATCTGTGATATTGCATCGATTTGAATTTGAGATTCGTCGTCGGGATGATCGCCTCCACCAGTTCTCACTTCAACTGACTCTCGCGGGGGGTGGTCTGTGGCGCTCTCATTACTAGAGGAACTCCAATTATCCGTGTCAGTTTCATCATCAGATGAAGAATCATGATCGTGGCAGCGATGGCGAAGTAGCTTATGGAAATCCGCTATCAGTATTATCTCCTTTGTGTGCTTGAGACGCTGGTGGTTCGGCCCCAAAAGAGAACCAATAGTAAGGTCGCTTATATTCGCTTCGTCTCTTGCAAGTAGAGTAAGAGATCGGTAAAGCTGCGGCATTGCCGCACGATGCAAGGCTTTTGATACTAAGCAGAGATTTTTCAGATCTTCTCTTCGATTGCACTGAATAGAGTATGTCAATGTGGCAACGTGAAAATGGGTACCTTTCGAGGTACGAACCAATTCCAGGATCATGAACAGGATTTCCGTCGGCAATGTGAGCAACATATCTGCAGATTTTTAACAAAACACCAAGAATTGAGACGGGACCGAGATGGGGTTTAATTTTGGCTTGGGCGACTTGTGTCCTTTTATAACACTGCTATTTTAAAATCCAAGGTCTGGCGATCAAGCCTCTGCCTAACGTGCTCAGCATGGGTGTTTCAACTTACAGCGGTCTTGCCCGTGGACCTATCACAAACTAATGCCGCCCCGTCACACAAGATTGATTGTCGAATAGCAATGGGGAAAAGGAGGCACAGGCTTTTCCACTCGGCGTCCATATCAATTCCCTAATACTCAATAACAGACAGGTCAAGGCACGAAAGAGATGAGCAACCGCCTGGAGAGGAACCGACGAACCAACCATCCACCGCAGGTCAAGAATAGGTCAACCTGCTCCAGAAGGGAATTCAGTAGACCGTGTGAAGATAGAACGGATTGATTGATGTAATGACTGACGGAAGATCTCCTACCGTAGAAGACCTTTGGGCGTCTATGTAGTCGTTTGTTGGATCGGAGTCTGATTCCTCGGGAAGAGCTGGGGGACGTTCCGCAGTTGCTCTTAATACCATCCAGGTAAGTTGTCTGCGGGATTGTAGGTACGGACCGCACTGCGCCGCAGCCACTCGTCTCTTCGATGGGTGGTCCGTCCAATCCTGACTATTGACCCTCAAATGTCATTAGCCACGAGTCCCGGTTCTTGCGGTCGCTTCCGCCTTCGGACTCCGAAATTAGAATATTGACTGAGCATACCCACACGCTTACTGCTGGTGAATGAAGTTGTTAGTGCATATAAAGTGATGGCACACCCATGCTTCGTATTACAATTCTAAGCTACATATCTAAGGACTGCCTAAAGGTGAATACATGTGCATTCCCTCGGGTCCTTTCAAGGTTCGTTCGTCGTTACTGATCAAAATGTTACCCGACTATCATGAGTAAGACGCAGCCGCGGAGAACGAAAGATCCTATAACTGACTGACAGCAAGTATCATGCAATCCGGGACGGTTGAGTTTATCATTGGCAAAGACCGAAAGCGGTTATCAATCCACGCTGCGTTGGCAAGCCTTTTTCCCGGCAAGATACTGAAGCCCCTTCGTGATGTTGTGGGGTCTGATGACGGTTCAACAGACAATGAACGCCCGTCATACGACAACAAACCGTGACCGGCGTGTCAGACTTGATGATACTGAGATTGTTGGCTCTGACTAAAGGGAAGGTAGAAGGGCTCTGCTTAATATATATGCACTATTAACGCATTACGTGCTCCTAAACGACCATGCAGTGCAAGAACTCAACATATGCTATGAGTTTCTAAGCTCCTTCAAATCCTTCAGTAAGAAATGTTTGCCTCCCGTGAATGTAGCAAGTAAAATCCTGGATCCAAAATCATCCTCCCTCATGGCCAGCAAAAGGTTAGAACCGATTCCGGCATTTCTTCTGACTTCGCGATCTGGAGTCTGATTATTGGAGCCAAACAGCCCTTCTGGCATGGAAACAAGAACCGTTTGGCGGCGAATGAACGGGAACCGAGTCCTTGCATGCTTTTTTAGCCAACCCTAAAAATGGGCTAGAAGTGAGTTCGGCGCACGGATTGTTTTCCTGGGAGGCTACCGTATTGATACGACACTGTAGACTCTAAGGAACTTAATGGACTATGCTTCACAACAGTATCGAGCCCGCCGTGTAATGCAAGGCTTGGTACATCCATGTTGGCTGGGAAACACGTCGCAAAGCGACCTTCCGTACAGCCCAAGCAGCGTTTGCAAAACCTTTAGGAAACGGACCGCCCGCAGCCTCCTTGAAGTTACAGGGAGTATGAAATTAGAAAATCAAGTACTCATATTCTGGTACTCTGAGAGGTAAATCACAGGACAACCACTAATCCTCCATCTTCAGTCTATTCGCCACAAACTTGACTGCATATACCAGACCAAGCAGTACCGGCACCTCAATCAAGGGCCCCACAGTCGACGCAAGGGCCTGGTTACTATCAGCCCCAAACGTAGCAACAGCAACGGCAATGGCCAGCTCAAAGTTATTGCTCGCCGCAGTAAAGCTCTGCGTTGCGGCAAGCCGATATCCAAAGCCTAGTTTATACGCGATTAGGAAGGTGACAAAGAAGATTGTCGAGAAGTAGACAATTAGCGGCGCAGCGACGCGGATAACGGACACAATCTGATGGACAACCTGGCGGCCCTGGGACGCGAAGAGGACGAGAATTGTGAAGAGCAGGCCGATGAGAGACCACGGCCCAACCCATTTCAGGAAGACGGTATCGTACCAGCGCGGGCTTGCTAGGTAACGAAGCGTAAAGCGAGTGAGGATAGCGGCGCCAAGGGGGATGCCGAGGAAGACGGCGACACTCTTTGCGGCGGTGGCGTATTCAAAGGAGACGGCATCGCCGCTGATAACTTGGATGAAGAAGACGCCAAGCGGGGCGAAAAGGACCATTTGAAGGAGTGAGTTGACAGCGACGAGGATCGCGCAGTACTCGCCATCGCCACCAGCCAGGCCCGTCCAGATTAAGACCTATGATGGTGTTTGTTGGATAAAACGACTATTAAGCTATTGTCCAGGTCCACGTACCATGGCGATACATCTTGCCAGACCGACAAGGATTAAGCCCTGGCGCAACTCCGGCTCATCTGGGAGAAATGCCCACGCTAGAGCTAACTGGAAACCATGGTTAGTTAGTGGCCCCTGTCATGAAACAAGCCTGAATGCAGCTCACCATGAAAAAGGGAGCAATGATCCAATTCAGGACTATACTGAACGCAATTTGCACCCAGATCTGACGGGTGCGGAAGACTTCGTGTAGTGACTCGTATCGCACCTTGCACAGAATGGGGTACATCATGACGAGGAGACCGATAGCTTTAGCGGGTCTTAGATATTGGCAGCGATTGTTGATATCGGAAGAAGGAGCTCACCAATTGGTACAGAGACCCCAACAAATTTGCCCCTTTGCAAAGCAGGACCTGTGCTGGGAACAAAGTTGCCCAGGATAATACCGACGGCCATGGCGAGAAAGATCCATATAACCAGGAAGCGGTCGAGGATCCCGAGGTTTTTGAATGCGGACTGCTTCTTCTGGGGACGGGTGGCATCGCCTTGTTTTTCCACATCTTGAACAGGCAGGTTGGGGGTGGACACTGACTGCGCCTCGGAGTCGATAGAATTCATTCTGACGCGATGGACTCGAGGTCGTGTCAAGTTAGGGAAATGGGTAGTGGTGATAGTATGATAGTAGTTCGGCCTTCCATGACAGACAACAAGCTTATATACGGAAACCGTGAAGATGAAGCTCGAAAAGGTGGCGCCGGCGATTGTCACTGCAATAACCTGATTGGCTGATAGTCACCGCCCCTGACCGACTTCAATCAAACCCCACTTGGCGTGGATGATATTTCCTTTAACAATCTTCACAGTGAATGTCACTCCCTTCATTTGATTGGTGTATCGTATCATCACTCAAAATCCAGCATCTCAAAGATGGTCAAGTGTCGCACTTGGCAGTCCGTCGAACCGCACCCAAGCCTTTCTCGTATCACAGATGTATCTGAATCAATGTGCATGCCCGCAATGATATTCGCCGCAGCCTCACAGGACATTGACGTCTGGTCATGCTGTTCTGCCGTCGCGTATTGGTTGGGTGGCAGACCATTGGCCTGGCCGCTTCCCATCCTATCTTCTGGCACGGGCTCCTCGTCTGAGAAAGCCGCGGGGGAGGACATCAGCACATGTTGATGAGCATGCTGTTTAGTGGATATGGTGGTCGTCGACCTTTTATGACTCCCGTGTTTACCCGGTCCCGGCGGAGCTGGCGCCGCATTCTCGATTCTTCTCGAAGCCAGGTACTGATTGACTTGCGAATCCACAATGCCATGAAGACTCAGCAGTTCCCGCAGCCATTTGTTCTCCTGTGCAACTTTTCGCCCAGCCGCCTGGACCTCCTGCGTGGCGGTTACTCCTAGTTTTTCGTAACTTTGCACACGTTCTTCAAGCTCGCGGATGTAGTCTTTTCGACGCGCGCGGGAGCGGCGTTGGTTATCGCGGATTCGAGCCGCGTTTCCGGTCTTGAATTATTCATTATTTACGATGGACCTTCAGAAAATGGGAAGAGAACTTACGGTCGAAGACGTCTGGTCGTCTGTCAACGCCCTCCGTGCCATTATCCCCGAGATCGTGTGGAATACGAGTGTTGCTTCCGAGAGTGCGAGGGTCGGACGGAGCGGACGCGTATGTGGTCTGGGCTGGAGGTGGGCTTGTGCACTTGCGTCCTGGTCGCTCAGTTGCTCGTTACTTTTTGTTTTTCTTCCTTTTCCTCGCTTTATTGAAAGAAGTAGTCTTCCAGTCGACTGAAACGTTGCCTGGCAAGATATTTCCTGACTCTTGGACAGGTGGCAAACCCTTCAGTTCTCTGGGTCGAGCATTCCGCACGTGGGGCTTGGCTTGCCAGCGCGCCGCGCCATTAATCTTCCACCTTGAGGTCAGGCGCGGGCGGAGTAGTGTTGCTACCTAGGTACTAGTATATAAACTACCACATATCAAGTTGGAATTAACAAGGTATGTTTTCTTGCTCCGCCAAGTTCTCCCCGCCCACAACGCAGAGTGTGCTATCGGACACTCCCACTTGTCGAGATACCACCCCTCTCACTCCTCCCGCAATCCATACCTACAGATTCCTGCAGAGCCAAAATGGCCTCCTGCCCTAGCGTCCTCTTCGTCTGCGTCCACAATGCCGGCCGCTCTCAGATGGCCGCGGGCTACCTCCGTCACCTCGCTGGCGACAAGGTCGAAGTGCTCTCGGCCGGATCCGCCCCGAAAGACTCGATCAACCCGCAGGTCGTTGAAGCAATGCGCGAAGAGGGAATCGATCTAGCAGGGCAGCAGCCCAAGATCCTCACCGAAGACGCAGTGCGGGTCAGCGATGTGGTTGTTACTATGGGATGTGGCGATGCATGTCCGTACTTTCCGGGAAAGCGCTATCTGGTTTGGAAGCTTGATGATCCGGCAGGACAGGGGTTGGAAGCTATACGGCCGATTAGGGATCAGATTAAACGAAGGATTGAGGGACTTGCTGCTGAGCTTCTACTGTCTGCGTGAGGACCGGGTGGGATTTACGGTGTAGTATAGCGGACCTATTCTTCCGCTCCTTTGATGGGCACAGGGTCTCTACTAAGACAAGGGTCGTATTTCTTCTGTGCTGCAAGTGACTCAAGCGACTCTAGGAGGTGCACAGCTAGCGTTAGGTATCTACACCGATCTCCTGTTACATGCACTCCCACGTTGTGTGGAATTTCCTATCTACCCCCTGAGAATAAACACAGGCTGTTCTTTTCTTCATCTCCTTCCCTCCGCTGGCTCTGCGATGGCTCTGTAGACCAACACAAGTGGATGCCTCTAGGGGTGGATCCTTTTAATGGCAAAGCAGGTAGACCCACGCGACAAGTGACATCTCCTAGAGCGGGCACCAGCGGAATTAGGGCCTCAAAGATCCAGCCAATCATCATCCACCGGTGACATACCTCTCCTTTTCTGTAACAATTGGCTCAACAGGGTCTGAACCTTCTAATCGTCCAAACCGGCATTTCGCGACATCAACCTGCATGGAAAAGTCTTTCTAGTGTTCTGCACCTCGCGCGAAGCCTCTCGAGTAATCCTGATGTGGCATTGTCTAAGAAGCACGTTAGCTTCAAATTTAAGACTCTTACCTCCCACTTACACCGCGGTACAATTTGCACGCTGCTTTCACGCGACAATGGCTATAGCCACTCCAAACGGCCAAACGCAGCCACTTGTGTCGGATACCAAATGCATAGTACCCGGGATTCTGCCATACAGGACACTCGCAATACCCTCATCGGAAGACGACCCCGAACTTCGCCGGAAGTATCGCCCATTCCTCCTCGAGTTCGACTCGTCTCCGGACTGGGTCAATGACCTAGAATTAACATCTGTGCTTGACCTGGCTGAGAAAGACCTGGTGGCCACGAATAGCCGGTTGAAAGTCCTCGTGCTCTACGGTAGCCTCCGACGTCGATCATACTCAAAGCTGGTGGCGTTTGAGGCCTCGCGAATCCTTTTCCGTCTCGGTTGTGACGTCCGTATCTTCAACCCCGAAGGCCTTCCCGTGAAAAATGATGTTGATCACACGCATCCAACAGTCCAGGAACTCCGAGCGCTGAGCGCGTGGAGTGACGGGCACGTGTGGATTTCACCAGAGCAGCATGGGAATTTGGTGCGCCTCTCTCCGTCCTCCTCATCCCATTATTGAAAGGTTTACATGCTGACATTTGAATCAAATATCAAAGACCGCCGTCTTCAAAAACCAAATTGACTGGATCCCTCTCAGTACAGGATCCATCAGGCCAACTCAAGGCCGCACCCTCGCAATTGGACAAGTTTGCGGCGGATCGCAGTCCTTCAATGCAGTAAACTCACTGCGCATCCTTGGCCGCTGGATGCGCATGTTGACGATCCCGAACCAGTCGTCTATTCCCATGGCATATACGCATTTCCCTGACGAGGGTCAAGAGGGGGACCAGCGACTGAAACCGAGTTCAAATCGCGATCGATTGGTCGATTGTATGGAGGAGTTTGTCAAATATACGATTCTTATGAGGCCGCATCTTGAGACTTTCGGCGATCGGTTTAGTGAGCGTGAGGAGAGGAGGATAAAGGAGGCAAGAGTTAAGGCTGCTGTGGGGAACAATTAAGCATCATGTCACTGTTGTTGACTGATATACGCACAGGATAGACTGTAACTGCTCATGAGCCGCTAGACAAGCGTTCGCGCTAGATAGAACATGGATGATCTTACTTCCGATAATGGATATCCCACTTAAACACCGGTTCCAAGTGCGCAGGGCATCTTGGAACGAATCCGCCATGGCACCATCACCTATTGGATTGCTGACTAATGTTCGAGGGTCCGCGTGCCACTGCGTGTTGCGAATTACTGTTGAGGTTGTGTCCAACGTCTCCCTTGCTCCGTCATGCATCGATGGCCCTTCCGCATTCCCTTCATCACATGCAGACAAACATCTAGAATAATCTAGTGTGAACCGGGTTCCATCGATACTCCAAATCCGCGTGTCCGCGGCGGAAATCCCATCCCAAACCATACGGCAGAGGCATGCCCCGCCCAAAACGAAAAACCAAGGCATGTTCTTAACTAGGGTTTGAGCGTCTGAGGCTCTCCAATAACATGTATCTAGGCCGAGGACCTCATTCGGGTCCGAAATAATCAGCGCAAATCGCGAGAGCGGAGGAAGCATCATGTTGCGGAGTTGGAGCAGAAGGTAAAGCAGCTGGAGTCAGCGGTAGCAGCGGCCAAAGTACCCATGCCGAGCATGAGCCTGGCAAAGGAGAATCGCATACTTAGAACCCTGCTGGAGTCGATTGGGTTTGACAGCTTATCGCTCGAGGGATATGTACAGGGTGCCCCTCTTGGTGGAGTGCAGGTGTCGTTGGAATCCGATTTTATCGCTCCCGCGGGTCCTGTAGCTGGTGTGGGGTTTGGGGGGTTGGAGCCAGGGTTGATGCCTGTACGCGCTCGAGGTACTGTTCTAAACATAGTACTTTGGTGGCTAACCTATGTTCACCAGACTGATCAACTCTACGCTCTCGCTACAGGAGAACCAAGTTCCAGTATTCAGAATATAGGCCTTGTTAGCCCCGATGTCTTGGATCTCTCGTACTCTGCCCCAACACAGGGGACGAATGAGATCTCACTGGACATACTTCAGAGTCAGCCTCCAATATGGGACACTGAATTAATAATGACCGAAGACCCAGCCGGTATACTGCACACCCTAGGTGGAGAAACCTCGCGCCCAGCAAACTCTGTCAACGGTGAGACTACACTATGCAGCGTCGCATTCCACCTTATTATCCAGTGCAGACGCACGGGAAAGGGTGTGCTCGAGCTCGAGACGAAGCTGCGGCATGGGTACAAGATGCCCGCTGGTCCCGGGGAAGGTTGTCGGGTGGATAATGGGACTCTTTTGGCGGTGCTTGCTGAGCTTGTTAGCGAACCTTGAATAGGTCGCTGCCGGGATCACAGGGGTTGATTGATTATATTTTCTTGTATCCTTTGCCTCTCTTTTCTTTGTGTTTCATCTTATCTCTCTCGTATCGCGTCGAGTTGAACAGGGTTGAGGTGACCTGTATATTCTTCCATTTAATGCCCGTATTTGACTAGTCTCCTGTCCTCTGGCTCTTTTCCTGTCCCTACTACAGTATGAAGTACACGGCGTTGTATTGATTAATTCAATCAGCAACTCTGGGCCGCGTAAAAATTAATTTATATGTCCTTGTATTATCACGCCTGGCCCTTGGCGTGGGTGATCTCCGCGCGCATAAATGGTGACCTACCAGTTATAGAGCCGTCCAATCAGCGACACGGTCGATCCGGTGATGACAGCATCAGCCACGACAACAGAATTGAATAGTATATCAGGAGGGCAACATGCCTCTCCACTTTCCTTCTCAAGGTTTTTGTTCTCGCAACCACCTGCGATTTTCTAAACATATCAATCACAGCCTCACAAAAATGACGCAGGAAACCTATAACGCGGTGCAAGTCCGCTACCAACATAGCAAAACAAAGCCACCATACTCAGCAATTTAGCAACGCCAATAGTGTGGAGGATAGCCTCGCCCGCGCATTCGGCTACTCGGCGGAGGACCTGGCCTCGCTCCCTGAGAAGGCGAATCTGGGTGTTAGTTGCGGTAACCCGGTTGCTGTTGCAGGGATCAAGGAGGTGAGAATTCCTACAAACGTATCCCTCGGTTACTGGAGAAGAATTTGAAGAATCCCGACTTGTAAGACATTGCCACGTGGCTAACTCTTTGACTTAGGGCGAAACAGTCGTGGATTTAGGAAGCGGAGCTGGTATTGATGTCTTCCTCGCTGCTCAGAAGGTCGGCCCGCAGGGAAAGGCGATTGGGGTCGATATGACAGAAGTCAGTCACACATCCTCTTGGCTCGCTGCCTATCCATAATCGCAACCTAACGTCCTCCGCACCAGGAAATGATAAGCCTAGCACGCCGAAACGCAACTCGCTCTAACCTGCAAAACACTCTCTTCATCCAATCCCCCATCACATCAATCCCGCTGGAGGACTCCACAGTGGACTGCATAATCAGCAACTGCGTTATTAATCTTGTCCCACACCAAGATAAACCAGTCGTCTTTGCTGAAATTGCACGACTACTAAAGCCCGGCGGCCGCGTTGCGGTCAGCGATATCCTTGCCCGGCGCGAGCTCCCCGCAGCCATCCTGGATGATATGGCGCTGTACGTCGGTTGTGTTGCGGGGGCAAGTCAAGTGACGGAGTACCGGGCTTGGTTGGAGGGGGTTGGGCTTACGGGTATGTTTACCCTTTTTCTGGGTACTCAGAAATGGTGCGGTAGGGAAATAAGAACGTAAAATCGTGGGATATAGATATCCTGCTTCTGGACATGAAGGCCGATATAAACCTCTACAAGCAGTCCTCGGAGACAAGTCAGGGCAATTGTGGTGCTGCCAAAGAGTCAGTGAGGCTTTCCGCAGGTGAGTTTGCAGACGTTGATTTTAACGCGTGGGTTGGTGAGTCTTATCTTTCCCCAAGCCTTGAATCTCTCATCTGGACTGGCATGCCGAATAGACTAATCTTGTTCTAGGGTCCTTTAAAATTTACGCTGTCAAGGGTAGGGAAAACGGGGAAGAGTAGTGCTACTGAGGATTGCAGTTCTCTATTCTCCATGGGTTCGATGATAAGGAACCAACTAGTTCTTTGGAGCAGTAGAGATCCATGATGAGTTACTAATGGGTATGGTCATTTCACTTGTAAAAACAAGCCTCGAACACCTCCACTCTATCAAATCCTGGGATATGGTATTGTTTCTATAAAGTACAGCGTAAGTCATGTTGTACATTTAAGTGCGATTTGTTTATGAAGGAGGAAATAGCATTCCGATATATAGAGCAAACGTCACACCAATTGCAGCGAACACTCCCTTTGATATAAATATCATCTTCTTCCTAACTCCCTCGGTGGACGGCTACACCCAATGCGAGGGACCTTCCAGACTCCAAAATAAGCCCATGTTGGCGATTTGCCTAGTGATCGTGCTTGGGTGGTAGCCAGCAGCATTAGCAATTTGAGAAGAGGTAAGTCCAATACTGAAGATCATGTCATGGATGAACTCCAGTTCAGAGGGATCGAGATTAGGAGCTGTCTGTGCTGTGACTATGATCAATGTATCCTCCGGGAGGATCTGGGACTAAATGCCCTTCCAGTAGGGAGAAAAGTTGGATTCGGCAATGCGATTGGGGGCAAAGGGAGGAGTTCATTATATGGATAAGAATTGGGAAGACGGATTACTGGACTTCTTGCCTTCGAAGAGAAGGGAATTCGATGCGGTGATTGATGGCACCGAGGGAGATATTGTTCATACAGCGGTCAAACTACTCAAGGTGAATAGTGCAGTGGCTTACAAATTTGAACAAGCTAACTAACATATTCCCAGGCTGGAGGGATAGTAGTGATCTACGGCATGACTATGGCACCGTCACTGTCCTTTCCGATGCGGGCAATATTGAAGAATCTCGATATCCGTGGGACGGCGCTTGGGTCTCGCCGAGAGTTTGCTGAGATGGTGGGCTTTGTTAGAGAGAAACGAATCACACCGGTCATCTTCTCTCGAGTATTGAATGGCATCGAAAATGTGAAGGCAATTGAAGAACAGTTTGATATATTGAGATCTGGTAGACAGTTCGGAAAGTTGGTGATCAAACTAGATGCCGAAGAACACTGCAAACTGTAGGTATACGCGCGATTGGGAGTCTGCATCAATTGTCCTTTCCTTGGCTCGGAAGCTAGCAAAGAGGTGAATATCATAAGAGCATGGTTTTACAGAGTCCTTTCCCCGTTTGTTCTAATCAGTGACGGAGAGACTGGCAAGAAGATGAGGGAATATCACAGTGACTTAGAGATAGAGCCGAGTCGAAGTAATCGTATAAACTATTCACCTGATGACGAGATGACTCTCGTCCAGCTCAAAAGTGAATTTATAGCCTCCTAGTAGTAGTAGTAGAAATCCCACTCCCGTAGTTGTAAACTTTTCAACATCCTCTACCTTCTTCATAATTTGAAATGAGACCACAAAAATTGTTGGATACATATCGTATCTTCGTGGTGTATGAGCCACGGGGGCTTATGACTCTTCGGTAAATCGCAGAAGATTTAAGCTGCCCGTTAATAACACCCGCGCGCTAAAATGGGTTCGACTTACCTAGGGCTATATGCGGCTGGCGCAGAGGATTTGCGTCTGGGAGCTTTTCTTTTCCCTAACATCATTCTTCTCACCGATATCTCAACTTCCGAACTTCATACTTAATATGGCAAATCGCTATACCTCTTATCATTTCTTCCGGCATGTTAGATTTGACAGCTGTATCTGAGATGATGTACAGACGATGTACAGTTGAGATTGAGCCATGTTGATATCGAAACAGACCTTCCCTAAGGCTTTTGACCAGCTTTGGGTTTTTCTCGACGTACGATCATACCATCTTCGTCAGGCAGGTCGAGTTGCCAGGGGGGACCTGGAGGCTGGAGTACAGCCCCCCTATCTCCATAGGGCTGGCGCCAACCGGGAGGTGACCCTCAGGCAAGCCTTTTGGTATGCCATCAACCAGGCGGCGCAGAGACATGCGGCGAACAACACTATGCCCATGTCATCCTGGGTTTAGTTTCGTAAGATCTCATCTATAAGACATGTCAATTTGCACCCTGAAGACTTTGATAAGGCGGGCAACCTGCGATCTAAACGGGTACCGAAAGGTGAGCCGGTGGACAGAAAGGCATTCCGGTCGCGCAGGGCTGGTATCTCCTGTGCGGGGAGAAGCTCGGAAAGAAGATACCATGGGTTATCAGCCGATCATCTCAACTTTACCAACGTTCCCGCGCACGTAAATTGAGGCACCTGGATGGCGATCAGTTCGTCGACTCTACGAACCTTGCAAGGACCCTGACGGAAAGGTAAGTCAACTCTTGGGCCGTGGATACCTATAGCTAATAGCCTGAAGGTTCTTGAAAGAGACCGACATACATGCCCCCTTACCAGGTGCGGCGATATCCTTCAAGTCGCGCACATCTTACCCTTTTCTATGAAAAAGCATAAAGGAACTGCATATCAAGAGTCCTTTTGGAATCAACTTAGGATCTTTTGGGAAGAAAAAGCAGTGGATAAATGGAAAGACTCAGTTTCACTCGAAAAAGGCATTGAAGTTTTACCAAATCTGATAGCTCTTGCTATTCATGCCCATCGCAATTGAGTAACATCTGATCTGTTTTCTTAGAGTCCAAAATGGACATAGACAGGGCTTTTGAGGAAGTCCTTGCGGCAGCGCGCACAAACAAGCTGCCGGTGGACCTCTTTTTTTAATAATAATTTTTTTTTTTTTTTTTACATTGGCAATGGAAGGCAGCGCTGGCCAAGGGCCAGTGAGTATCGTTAAAAGTTCTTTCGTTTTTCCTCTTTCTATCGTCGATCGTCGATTTTTGATTGTTCCATCTTCTTTCTGGTTCGTTTTGGTTTTCCCTTAGAAGTTCATTGTTGGAATGTTTCTTGTGCCTATTCTTGTCAATGGAAGTTGGATGCAGGATGATCAATGAAAGCCCATATTCCTTTTACACTGAGGATCAGAAATTCTTGGAATGATAGAGTGTGAACTGTCTTGCGGAACCCCGATACTCACTTTGACGTATAGACGGATGGCGGGTGTTCCTGCCGACGCTAAACGGCCACTAGAATCCACATCGCTCCCATCTCCCAATAAAGGGCGCGAGAATTGTTAGCCCCCACGCGCGCGAGAAATGAGCTCTTCAATTTTCTTGGACACAAACTCCACTCAGAACAATCCCCAGGCCATGAAGCTCCTGTCGCGTTGTATGCTCGCCTCATGTTGCGCCAGACAAGTCAATGTCGGCCCTTAGCCTTAACACCAACCTTCCGTGTGAGAACCCTCGATCGCCGGCGTTGAATTCCGGGTTCGACGCGCGTGCCAGGTGGGTAGGGTAGAGGCATAATGCGTGGGAGGTGGCTGAATAATCTTCATTTCTATCGCAAATCCGATGACGGCGAAAGTGGCCAATATATGCTGGAGCACGGGACTGATATCAAACCGTTCATTGCGACGAGGTGCGCGCGAACAGAGGGCATACATTGAAACACCGCTAATTGATGCACTTCCATAACAGGATCGACGATGTCAAACCCCCAAAACGATTTCCCTGGGCCAGGCCGAAACCCGTCGGCCCTCCGAAGATCTGTATAACCAGCGCGTTTATTGTCGTCGTCATCAATATCATCCTCACCATCGTCGCATTCAGCATCGGATACTCAAAACACAGTCCGAACGGCTTCGTCACTGTGCCGTTATACATCGGAAGCTGCACCCTATCGAAGAACTGGTCGATCGGATTACATGTGTTGATCAACGCATTGGGAACGGCCATGTTGGCAGCGAGCAATTATTGCGCGCAGTATCTCGCCGCCCCGACGAGAGAGGATGTTGATCAGGCGCATGCGCATGGATCCTGGATGGATATTGGAATTCCGAGCCTGAGGAATATTCGGAGGATGAAGTGGCAGAATAAAGCCCTCTGGATTGTCCTGATGGTGACATCACTGCCAAATCATCTAATGTGAGCCTTTTCTTCTTCTTCCGATCAGACAGTTCTGTCGGTTTGAGTGCGACAGGCCCATTGACCGTGGGCAGATACAACTCGGTGATCCTGAATGCGAGATCTTCCAACGAATATACCGTTATGGTTGGGCCCCACGATTACAACGGCTCGAAACCGCTCAATGTCAGCGACGAAGTGGCCTCTTGCTTCCCCAAGAAATTAGGCCAGTCATACAGCCAGTTGAACGGCGAGATTGAAACAGGAAACTTTGACGTCCTGACTAGAGAGCAATGCATGAAAAAACTGGCCGTCAACTTCCCATCCGGTCAAGGAACCGTCATGATTCTGTCAAACAATCTCACATTAAACGAGGAATACCCGTTCGCATCGGCCGGTCTTGGGAACGCGATTCATGATTTGTCGATGGATTGGCCGTCCTATCAGTGGATGTGCCCCTTAACAACGCCTGATGGATGTCCCTTGAGAGAAATGGAAGAAAATATCGACAATTGGTCTGTTTCTGCCATCCCATGGGTGGGTTCCGACTGGGAAGTGACCGTTCCGGCTGAGAACGATCAGACCGTTACTTATCTGAAGAGCAACTATACTGGTTGCCCTGGCTGGGCCAATACGACATACTGCGATGACCTTGCCCGCGTTGCGTATATGGCATGGGAATATGGGGGTGCTTCCGCCCGTAGATTCAATTCAAGCTTGCACGACCTCGACCAGTGGGGGAATTCTGACTGGGCCGCTGAGGTGCGCTTCAAACAAGCCAAGGTTACTTGTCGGCCTACAGATACTTCCATGCACGTGGGTGAGATGGGCGATAGCTACACGGTGGACGGGTGTTTGAGCATGCATGTGGATGAAAGCTGTCAGTTGCTTTTTATTCCGTCTTTTGCAATCGTGGTAATCGGCTGTGGTCTCATTAAACTGGCTTGCATTGCCGTAATAGCTCATCGTGCATCGACCAAGAAGCTTCTTACCGTCGGGGATGCCATTGCCTCATTCCTTACCCACCCCGATCCCCATACGATGGAACGCTGTCTGACATCGAAGAGTGACTGGACCGCCGGGCATCCCATTTGGAAGGGACAAGGACACCACCAACAGGTCTCGATCAGGCCGCGGGAACTGTTGAATAAGACCAAATGGTGGTGGCAGGCAGGTAGCCCAGTCTTATGGACTTTGACTATCTCACTGTAAGTAACCCTCGAGCTATTTGCTCCAAAGAGGTGTAAACTGATTGTTCATCAGGTGCTCGGTAGCTCTCGGTGTAGCAGGCTATCTTCTCGACCAAGGCCTACAGGACAACCGATTGCAAATGCTCGGCGGTTCTGACATCAAATCGCTGTGGAATCTCGGATTAGGGACCATGAGCTTTGCCACCACGATCGCGCGCACCAAGAGCAGCATGATGGCCAACGTTCTTCTGGCCAACGTCCCACAGCTCTTTGTTTCCTTTTCTTATTACTTCTACAACGCCCTCATGACCTCTATGATAGTATCCAACGAATATGACCACTACGCCATTGGCACCCCTACAACTGACATCGTCGGCAATCCCACGATAAGGCCAAATAAAGCCCTGCGAGTCTCTAGCCATGCGCAAGGCGTTCAGCGGGTTTCCTATTTCCTGGGTCTTCCGTCTCGTTACAGCTTACCGTTAATGATCACCTATGCTCTGCTTCACTGGCTGGTCTCGCAGAGTCTGTTTTACATCCGTGTCCTCTACTACGACGTTCACGGGAGGTATGTCGAGTCGGCGGATATCAATGCCTGCGGGTGGTCACCCATGGCGATTATCCTCGCAATCGCGGTGGGTGGATTGATGGTCTTGGTACTCTTTCCCTTGGGGATGAGGCGGTTTCGATCCCAGATTCCTCTGGCGGCGAGCTGTAGTGCTGCGATCAGTGCGGCTTGTCATCCTCCGCCGGGGGACTCGGGGGCTGCGCTGAGGAATATCGTATGGGGAGAGGTTACTGGATCTTCGATCGCAAATACAGCATTTGAGAGTGAGGATACGCAGAAGATTGCTCACTGCTCCTTCACCTCGCAGGAAGTCAGAATTCCATCTGCACCAAAGTTTTATGTATAATAGCCTCGTTCGCAATATCAAGTATGAGGCAAAACAATGCTCAGACCACAATGACGTCATCACCACTCAGTCTCTACCCAAATTAAAACTGCTCCCCTTCACACACTACGTACTATGCTTTCTCCACCTACCTACGGTGTACGGAGTATAATGCTGACCACTAGACACGCCGTGAATGGCTGACCACCCGATCTGATTATCTGATCGTTATCTAATCGTTATCGACGCCCTCCGAGAACATCTCCACCAACAGGGCGGGGTACAGCTACCCGGATAAGAGGATAAAGACGACCTGTCCGGGTGGTTGTACCCGGTGGACATTTCATCGACATTCATTATCGTCACCTTTTACCAGACTTCCTTGGAGGCGAATATCAATTTGATCACCACGTGCATAAAGATAAAGGGTCCCCGCTGCCCATAATTTATTCCTTGAACCATCTGCTACGAACCAGAAAACGAAAAAGAACTTAAAATGTCTACCATGACGACCACCGCCACCACTCAACAGCTCCCTCACCACACGGTCGTTTCCCAGGACTCCATCTCTCCAGCTGAAAATAGCGCCGTTTTCCAGGCCCTCGCTCGCGGTGACAAAAATGGCAAACTCAAGCTCCGAGGGATCCCCTCGTTCACTGATCCCCTAGCTAAGCGCCAATGGGTGCGCGAGCACATGGCCGCTGCTTTCCGATTCTTTGGAAAACAGGGCTACGGGGAGGGCGTTTCGGGACATATTTCAGTGCGAGGTTGGTTTCATCCTAGCTCACTATATCGTTTATTGTTGTATTCTGCCTGGGTGTTTCGTTACTTATTGAATGCTGACGAAGTCTGTGTTTCGATCTAGATCCCGTCCTCCCCGAACATTTCTGGATGAACCCATTCGCCAAACACTTTTCGCTTATGAAAGCGTCCGATCTGGTTCTTGTCGATGCGAACGGATACGTGGTTGAGGGTGGTAACCAGGCTGTTATTAACGAGGCTGGATTCATGATTCATTCCGAGGTGCATCGCGCCCGACCGGATGTCATGGCTGTGGCGCATACACATAGCATGTATGGGAAGACGTGGAGTGGGTTTGGAAAGCCGGTGGAGATGATTACGCAGGGTGAGTTATTTTCGCTTTCCTTCGTATTTTGAGACTCGGGATTGATAGAGGATACTGACGGAGTACAGATGCATGCAACTTCTACGGCAAGTTGAGCGTATATGAGGAACATGGTGGAATTGCGCTTGCGCAGGACGAGGGTATAGCCATTGCCAAGGCACTGGGGAAGGAGAACATTGCGTCCATTTTGCAGAACCATGGGTTTGTCCCCTCTTGAGTAGTTATTGCATCGTACTTACTAACAAACATAATAGGTTGATCACCGTAGGCTCCACAGTCGACGAAGCGGCTTTCCTATTCTATAGTCTCGAAAAGGCGTGTCACTCGCAATTGATGGCTGAGGCTGCGGCCGCGAACGGAGTGCCGAAGAAGATTATCACGGACAAAGTGGCCCAGTTCACGGCGGACTCGGTGCAGGATCCGGTATGATCGTCTCTCGCTGGTTTGTGGGAAAATGCTAACGTATTGTAGCATAACTTTTATCTTGAGTTTCAGCCGGAGTTCGAGCTTGTTGTGGAGGAGTCTGCAGGCAAGGTTCTCCAGTAGTTATACATTGAGACTTTTATCGGAACGATCTCCGGGGTTTGAGAAGAATAGTTAGCCTCTACCCAGTTTGAACCTTAATATGCGCCTATGATGTCTGTCTAAGCTTTTGAATACGTCTTTCCAAACAAATTGAATTTTCTTGATCCACGGTGCACAGTATATCAGTTCCTCTCTCCCGACTCCAGCCAAGTAACCAGGGTTCAACATTCAAAACCCACACCGTTTCCGCTCCAGTTTGCAAAGCTTGTCCGTAGAGTAGAGTGCTAAACTAATTTTTCAAGCTCGTCTTGGCTTCGCCTATGTAGATCTAGGCTACTGAGCCCCAGCACCACGTCAAGGTGCGAGCTTATCGCTGGGGGGAACCTATGCAAGCATAGATCCCTCCTCTATACAACGCTCGAACCGCGATCTATCCAAACCGCAAGCGTAAAAAACCAACCAGCACCAGAGACCCTGGAATTACGGTATATTGCTATATGAACTCAAGATGGGAAGGGATTTTCTGTTTTAGCACACCTCCTTAAGGTGACTCTCGCCTCTTCCATGGTTACACTACCACCTATTCCGAAACTATATCAAGGTTACAGCACATATAGCAGTCCAGGAGCGACTGCCGAATCTTTGTGTCGGCGAGAACAGAACTCCCCATAGTGCCCAGCACGATTTGACTTACGTCGGAAACTTACAACAGTGGGCTGGTTTTGAATGCAGTGTCTTACAGCAATTTCAAACCCACCAATGGACCTCGAAACTGGCTCTTTTCTACAGGTTTACTGGGACCCCACCTCTCCAAAGCCTCTCCAACGGGATAGTCGCTGCATTCATCCAGCTGCTTTTTCAGGAGTTCAAGCAAGCCTCTAACGGTGGTCTGGTGCCGGTTGCCGTTCCCGTTTTTTCGGTGCATTGCGACGTTGGGGCATCCCTCATCTAGATTGTGTTGGTTCTTCAAGCCCAGGAGACATTTCTGGGTACAGAATGGGTCGCCTACGGAGGGCTTGTGTTTTGGGAACAAGTAATAATTTCCGCTGCAGGGTTGTATGATTAGTCGACTTGGGTACTTTGAAGGATCGGGTTGAGGGTGGGACTTAAACACTTCCACCTTCTGCCCGCGATCGGGTCTAAACTGGTGATGTTCTCGTATTTCCCCGCCTCATTCTGGACGCCAGTCCATAAGGACCTGAGCCGAGAGAGCCCCTTGGTATCCAGCGCTCCGTGATTTGGCCTTCCATGTTACCACCTGTCACTAGGTTGTGTTTCTCTGCCATCTGCCGGTTTGCATCAACGATGTTCCCGATTTCCTCTGCCATTTCTCTGCTATTCTCTTTCGTGCACCGGGAATCTTCGGTCATCTGCTTGACCTGCTGTCCCACCTGCCCGTTTATATTTGAATTCCCCATGGAGTCGTCGATAGTCATCTTCCAGTCCTGGGTATCTTCTGCTGTATTTTCCATTGTCACTGACAGGGTTCCAGGAATTACGTTGGGAAAGGCAGTGTTGGAACGATATTATCAACCAGACCAGAGAGGTGGAGTATCTTGACCTAATCCACATACCGCACCGCACCTT